CGAAAGCCATTCAGTAAAATTGTATAGGCAAAAACACTAAGTTACCTCTGCAACCAGGTCTACCTTTGTTACAGAATATTGCAAAACTGTTTGATGATGTTCAGTGCAACCTTGGTTAGAGAAACAAGCAAAAGGAAGCAGGAAGCTCACAGCGTTGCTGTGCAGCAGAGAGATTAATGTGGCTGCCACAGACATAGGTTCAAAGAGTTGCTTATTTTGGTGTGGCTTCACTGGCAATGAGCCAAACAATAGTAGTATGAGCTCACAGTGTGCCTTCATAGTGGGGTTATATCTGAAGGATGAGGTCAGAGGTGTCTTAAGCAGCACTTTACCAATCTGTTTACATGCCAGATGGGGATGTTTTAATTGTTTTTGGTTAAAGATGCATTCTCAAAACGTTTGTAAAACTTCAGCCAGTAGTTTTGAAAGTGGTGTTCATGAGCCAATAGTGGTCCCCGTTTTTTGTGTACTATGTCATCAAATTGTATACTACATCATCCATTTCGTATTATAAATTATGTTACGTCCTGCAAAAATATATATACTGTATATATTTTTATTCTTTTTGCAATTCATATGATGTTACAAAAACCAATTCATACTATATGTTGTGCTTAAGATCCTGGAGTGCATCTTTAAAGTTCGACTGCACTTCCTGATTTGGCCTTGTTTTAGATTTGGTGAATTAAGAAATGCTAGGGGCCATTACTGAATTCCAAAGTGAGTTGGTTTCGGGGTGTGCTTTGATGTGGGTGTCTCCTGTGTGTGTTTGCAGGTGGGAAAAGTTAGCCAAATCATTTAGCCAATTAGCTTCAGCCGGCTGGTGTGTGACTGTGGCAAAGATGGTTTGACTTTGGATAGACTATCTCTGAGGCTAGTTCGGGACCATCAATAAAAGTACACAATGTAAATGAGACAATATTTTCATGTTGCACATCTTTTAGTTGACTCATTAAATGCTTTCAATATTTGTATATGAATTTCTACAATTTAGTTGGTTTGAGGTTTTTAAGTCATTGAAATTTGGAGCTATTGACCTTTTAAAATATTGTCCCTTGTACATTGTGTAATTTACTAATGGTCCCTAACTTGCCCCATAGGGATATCGAATGTACAACCAAATTGACCATGGGCATTACGATCGGGTCCCGTGAAGCTGCGCTCCAAATGTATGATTACTTGGGTGCTGCCAGCTGTGGGCATCTGGGCAGGATTAAAATAAACCCAACCAACGGAAAACTGTTATGGTACCCTTCATTCAGTGACATACCATTTTTTCCTATCATCTCTCAGTTTTGGACGAGGTTGACTTTATGACAAAAATGATCCTATTTACACGTTGTAGTCAATTTTACACTAGAATAAATGTTTCATATTGATGCCACATAGGCCATTTTCAAAATGAAAAGTTGCTTTTTAGGAGCAGTCGCTCTTTAATTATGTGATTTTTTCTGTGTTTGAGGTTTTTGCTGTTGCTTTTCAATACATTACTACAGTTTGACCCGTTTCACCAGCACACAGGGACCATGCATCATCCTCCACCTACAAGCACTAAATAGTCTTTACACACAGTCAAAGGATAAGGATCTAGACAGCACCAAGAGAGTGCAAAACAGACTAGGGAACAGATTCCCAGGCCTGTGTTGAGCGCTATAAAACCATGCGGTATAAAACCACAGCAGATTATGTTTGTGAGATGAGTGTAGAGATAAGGCCACCAGCTTGTGGTTTCATGGGGTGAGGGGGGGCAAGCTGGTTGTTTCCTCAGAACGCTGTAGAATCAGATGTAGAACGGTGTGCTGCTAGGCAAGTGTTAACTAACCTTTGACCTTACGCAGGTATCAGTGTAACACAGGCAATCACATGTGAAGGCCAGACGGCTTACTTTGATAAACAGTTGTATTAGACCATGCCTATTTCAATCTTTCAAAAAACAAACAGTTATTTCAGAATATTTAGGCAAGTTAGCTGGCAAACTCCTTGATCCTGTTTTGTAATCAGTAATCTCTCATAAGAGGTGGCCCCTCAATGTAAACAGTTCAAAAGCCAGTGAGTGTAGAGAGGAATAGGATTCTTTCCCTTCCCCTACATGTTTTTCTCATCTTTCTTCTACACCAAACCCAGCATCGGAACCACAGCTGCCACCCACATACACATTCGAGAGCTCACACCAACATCTACCCTCCACCCACGGGCACCCGCAGGTACCAACACACACACACGGATCCCTCACCTTCCCTCCAATCCTCCTTCACAATATGAAAGATCTAGGTTAATGTTAAATCCTGATAAACACATTAGGTTTATTTTATTTTATTTATTTATTAGGGATCCCCATTAGCTGCTGCCAAGGGTCCAAACACATTAGGCACTTACATCACACATAAAACAAAAGATAAAACAGTACATCATATAACAGTATTATAGCACTACATATCTACAATACAAATTGTATAAAACCACCATACAACAATACTACAATGTACTTGTGTGTAGAGTGCGTGTGCTAGCGTGTGTGCGTGTATGCGTGTGTCCAGTGGTGTAAAGTACTTAACTATTTATATTTTTTACTTCTTTTACTTCACTACATTCCTTAAGAAAATAATGTACTTTTTACTCCATACATTTTCCTTGACACCCAAAAGTACTCGTTGCATGGAAAATGGTCCGATTCAAGCACTTATCAACTGAATATCCCTGGTCATCCCTACTGCCTCTGATCTGGCGTACTCACTAAACACACATGCTTCGTTTGTAAATTATGTCTGAATGTTGGAGTGTGCCCCTGGCTATCCATAAAAAAATGTTTTTAAATATATGGTGCTGTCTGGTTTGCTTAATATAAGGAATTTGAAATGATTTATACTTTTACTTTTGATACTTAAGTATATTTTAAACCAAATACTTTTACTCAAGTATAATTTAATTGGGTGAACTTAACTTTATTCATTTTCTATGAAGGTATCTTTACATTTACTCAATTTCCACCACTGCGTATGTTTGTTCCTGTGTGTGTGTGTCTCTTCACAGTCCCCGCTGTTCCATAAGGTGTATTTTTATCTGTTTTTAAATCTGATTCTACTGCTTGCATCAGTTACCTGATGTGGAATAGAGTTCCATGTAGTCATGGCTCTATATAGTACTGTGCGCCTCCCATAGTCTGATCTTGACTTGGGGATTGTAAAGAAACCTCTGGTGGCATGTCTTGTGGGGTATGCATAGGTGTCCGATCTGTGTTAAGTAATACCAAGCCCAATAGACCACAGGTCTGACCAGCTTTTGCTGTGCTCTCTTCTGTGGTAAGGAAGTAATCATATGGTGTGCCAAAGTATAGAAGCACAGCCTTGTGGTTATTTAACAAAAATGGGTCACTAGAATAAATAGTGAATAGAAACTATGGGGGCATTCCAAACCAAATTAAGACTGAATTGAAAGACAGAAAACAGAATATGAATACAAATACAAATTGACATTTTAAAGTGCTGCAAAAAAACATGCTGAATTCAGAATAGCCCAAATCAAATGCTTTCCTTGGTAGTTAAGTTGGTCTCTAGACATAACATGAAAATGTTGGGAAATTATAAACAGTAAGGGGATTTTCTTTCCTGTCCAGGACACATTAGTCATACCACAAATGCAATGGAACCTTATCATTGTAATACTGAAACTGTTAAAACAAGCATGCCAAGTGTCAAGTCATCTTCACAACATCCTGTAATGGGAAATGGTGTGAACTCCTTTTTCTGATTTTATATTTTGGCAAGCAATAAAGGATATATAGATTGTGACGAATTATTCAAACTCAAACTCTTGTTCAGTGATAAGGTTAGTGTTGAGTAAGTTGAGTACGTTCTGGCCTCATTTGAAACCAAACCAGTTAACTTGAGTTGACAGGAAGTGGTTTGTAGGTTACTGGTTTGTTTTTCTCTTCATGGTTGTTGGTACACGGAGAGGAAGACTATCTTCTTTTTAAATGCACGTAGCACAGGTTGTTGCACAATAGTAAATGCACAGGTTGTTTCACATTAGTAAATGCACAGGTTGTTGCACGATAGTAAATGCACAGGTTGTTGCACAATAGCAAATGCACAGGTTGTTGCACAATAGCAAATGCACAGGTTGTTGCACAATAGTAAATGCACAGGTTGTTGCACAATAGTAAATGCACAGGTTGTTGCACAATAGCAAATGCACAGGTTGTTGCACAATAGTAAATGCACAGGTTGTTGCACAATAGTAAATGCACAGGTTGTTGCACAATAGCAAATGCACAGGTTGTTGCGCAATAGCAAATGCACAGGTTGTTGCACAATAGCAAATGCACAGGTTGTTGCACATTAGTAAATGCACAGGTTGTTGCACAATAGTAAATGCACAGGTTGTTGCACAATAGCAAAGAAAGCTGAAAAGTATTCTAATGTTCAAATGACCAGTTCCTTACGCTATGAAAAAACACAAGTGTTTAAAAGTAAGAAAATAATATATTCTTCTGTCTGTGTAAATATACAAGGTCTCCATAACAGCAAACCTTTCTCATATTGTAATGCTTGGAGCACTGAACATATTGGCACCCAACACCTCCCCTTTTCCTAGAACGTTCTCACACAAACAACTATCTGAAATTATCATATAGGAATGTGACCTGGCCAGATAAACCTTGAAAGACTGACCCTGTGATATCCCTGAGAGTAGTGTGCTCATAATAAACAAGTATAATACAAATCTTGAAGTTATGGTTAGCCCGTCAATATCAGAATAATATAACCCGACAATTGGATGAGTATCCATACTACTCTCATGGATATCACAGGGCTCTGTCTTTCAAGAATATAACCTGACAATTGCCTAAACGTATATGGACCCAAAAAACCCTTCTCTGCCCCCGCCCTCTCGCTCTCTCTAATTTTGCCACTCCCTCTTCCTTCCACTCTCTCTCTTTTCTGCTCTCCTATGGATATTTATACTGACAGTTCATTGAAACAGCTGAGACATCACTTTGAGTTCCTTGTGCTTGTGTGCCCCAGAGTCTAACACCGCTGTGTGTGGGGCCACTAGCTACATCTTACGTTAGTGTGACAGCTTTGTGAGAAATGGCATACAGCCTGTGGATTGCCCTAGTCCTTCTCCCGGTTCTGGTGCACTCTCAAAGTGGAAGAGAATGGGCTGACAATGGTGAGCTGCCTTTTCTCTTTTAGAGTTATTGTAATTCTCTTTAAGAATGATTTACATTCACTGCAACGTTTGTGTCCACAAATACAGTGATGGTGCATCATTGACTGTTAATTCTCACTCCATACCATTTCTTTAGTTGACAAAATGTATCTGGATTTGCTGCTCTTGACCTCATCTAAATTGCTGAACTTCTTTCATTTCCCTCCCAGAACCCAGAATACTCTGCACTTCTCATCTCAGTCTGTTGTCACCAAACACCCTAACCTGCCACCTCGACGATGACAATGAAGATGATGAAATAGAGGACGTAAAAGCCATGACTCTTTGGTAACGAACCTCCTAGAAGACCACTGAACATCAGCTGTGTTAGTTAGGAGCTTATACAACACATAGGACAAAAATCATGGGTAGAAGAACTCCACCCTTACTGCACATTCAGATATCCAAATGTGTAGAATCCTCAGATAGATTAGGAAATTATTCCTCAAATCTGATTTTATGAACATTATGTTTACAGCTACAGCGAGAGCAGTGATGAGCAACGCTGTCTGACAGAGAATGGGAATAATGTCACATTTACGGACCTGGCCACTCTGCCGCTGTATAATCTCACCATTCAATTAAATAGAGGCAGCACATTTTGGAAAACAATTATCTTGGCAAAAATAAGTAAGTTATCATCATTTCATACCTTCTCACCCTAAATTACACCAATTTGTCACATGCTTCGTAAACAACAGGTGTAGACGAACAGTGAAAATGCTTACTTACGGGTACTTTTCCAACAATGCAAAAAAATAAATATAGAATATTAGAAAAACAAGAGGAATAAATACACAATGAGTAACGGTGACTTGGCTATATACATGGGTAGTACCGAGTCGATGTGCAGGGGTATGAGGTAATTGAGGCAGACAGTACATGTACTGTATGTTTATAGGTAGGGATAAAGTGACTAGGCAACATAGATAATAAACAGTAGCAGCAGCGTATGTGATGAGTCAGAAGAGTTAGTGAAAAAAGGGTCAATGAAAATAGTCCGGATAGCTATTGGTTATATTTATTTTTTCACCCCTTTTTTCTCCCCAATTTCGTGATATCCAATTGGTAGTTACAGTCTTGTCCCATCGCTGCAACTCCCGTACGGACTCGGGAGGGGCGAAGGTCGAGAGCCATGCGTCCTCTGAAACACGACCCTGCACTGCTTCTTGACACACTGCTTGCTTAACCCGGAAGCCAGCCGCACCAATGTGTCGGAGGAAACACCGTACAACTGGCAACCGAAGTCAGCGTACATACGCCCAGCCCACTAGAGCACGATAGGACAAGGACATCATGGCAGGCCAAACCCTCCCCTAACCCGGACGAAGCTGGGCCAATTGTGCGCCGCCTCATGGGTCTCCCGGTCGCGGCTGGCTGCGACACAGCCTGGGAGGCCTATTGGTTATCTTTTTAATTAACAATTTAGCAGCCTTATGGCTTGGGGTAGAAGCTGTCAGAGTCCTGTTGGTTCCAGACTTGGTGCATCGTAGTAGAGAGAACAGTCTATGACTTGGGTGGCTGGAGATAGCCCTATTTGGTAAAATACCAAGTCTATATTATGGCAAGAACAGCTTAAATAAGCAAAGAGAAACGACAGTCCATCGATACTTTAAGACATGAAGGTCAGTCAATACGGAACATTTCAAGAACTTTGAAAGTTTCTTCAAGTGCAGTCGCAAAAACCATCAAGCGCTATGATGAAACTGGCTCTCATGAGGACCGCCACAGGAAAGGAAGACCCAGAGGTACCTCTGCTGCAGAGGATAAGTTCATTAGAGTTACCAGCCTCAGAAATTGCAGCCCAAATAAATGCTTCACAGAGTTCAAGTCACAGACACATCTCAACATCAACTGTTCAGAGGGGACTGCGTGAATCAAGCCTTCATGGTCGAATTGCTGCAAATAAACCACTACTAAAGGACACCAATAAGAAGAAGAGACTTGCTTGGGCCAAGAAACACGAGCAATGGACATTAGACCGGTGGAAATCTGTCCTTTGGTCTGGAGTCCAAATTTGAGATTTTTGGTTCCAACCGCCGTGTCTTTGTTAGACGCAGAGTAGGTGAACTGATGATATCTCCACATGTGTGGATTCCACCGTGAAGCATGGAGGAGCAGGTGTGATGGTGTGGGAGTGCTTTGCTGGTGACACTGTCAGTGATTTATTTAGAATTCAAGGCACACTTAACCAGCATGGCTACCACAGCATTCTGCAGTAATACGCCATCCAATCTGGTTTGCGCTTAGTGGGACTATCATTTGTTTTTCAACAGGACAATGACCCAAAACACACCTCCAGGCTGTGTAAGGGCTATTTGACCATGAAGGAGATTGATGGAGTGCTGCATCAGATGGCCTGGCCTCCACAATTACCCAACCTCAACCCAATTGAGATGGTTTGGGATGAGTTGGACCGCAGAGTGAAGGAAAAGCAGCCAACAAGTGCTCAGCATATGTGGGAACTCCATCAAGAGACTGAAAAGCATTCCAGGTGAAGCTGGTTGAGAGAATGCCAAGAGTGTGCAAAGCTGTCATCAAGGCAAAGGGTTACTACTTTGAAGAATCTAAAATCTAAAATCTATTTTGATTTGTTTAGCACTTTTTTGGTTACTACATGATTCCATGTGTCATTTCATAGTTTTGATGTCTTCACTATTATTCTACAATGTAGAAAATAGTATAAATAAAGTAAAACCCTTGAATGAGTAGGTGTGTCCAAACTTTTGACTGGTACTGTAGGTATTACAGACTGGGTCAGGGAGAGGTTGAAAATGTCAGTGAAGACACTATGTTCGAATGACAGTACCATGACACATTCTTACATGACATCTTCCATCAATTGATAGCCCTTAGTTGTATCCTTCATCGATTACCCTTAACACTTATCCTCTGTTTCTTGTTCATTTGTTCATCTTTACGGTTCAGTTAAACCCATGAGTCCTTGGGTGGTGAATGTCACATTTCTGTGGAGCTCCAACCAGGCTTTTATTTACATTGGGAATCCATACCTAAATGATTACCTGAAACCCAACAATCAACTGTTCCAATTTCGCATCTGGAGTGTCAAAAATACTCTGGTACAGTAGCTAAAAACCTATTTTTCTTGGATTTGTAGATACAAACGCTTAATTATATGATTTATATTTATTATATTTCCCTTTAATTTAATCAGAAATAATAATTATTTAACAACACTGTAGTTACTCTGTATAGTACAGTATATTCTATGAATACAATTTCTTGTCTTTTTCTTATTTTATGGTGTACCCTGTTCATAGGTTCAAAACATAACCTATCAGCCTCTGATCATCGAGGGGGACGAGTACCTCCATAAGAACACAGAGTATCACGTCAAGGTTCGAGCCAAGCCAAACGGGAAGTACTTTGATGGTAGCTGGAGTGAATGGAGTGCCTCTCTCAGTTTCAGAACAGACGCAGGTAAAAAAAGACTTACGGCGTCTAAAAAGTATAGCATGATATCGAGACTGTGCATTTGGAAGTGATTGAGGGTAGAGGAAATGGGAGTCACATGCATTGTCTCTGCTCTCTTTCTCTCCCCACTCCCCTACAGAGACAAATGTGCAGATGCTGACCTACTCACTCATTGTGGCCATTTTTGATCTGCTGCTGGTGACTTTGGCAGTTAGTATTTTCTGGAGAAAACAGTGAGTATTAAATTGGTCTCCTTTTCCTCTGCAAATCATATTTTGTGTGTGTGTGTGTGTACGTGTGTGTGTGTGTGTGTGTACGTGTGTGTGTGTGTGAGTGTGTACGTGTGTGTGTGTGTACGTGTGTGTGTGTGTACGTGTGTGTGTACGTGTGTGTGTGTACGTGTGTGTGTACGTGTGTGTGTGTGTACGTGTGTGTGTGTGTGTGTGTGTGTGTGTGTATGTGCATGTCCTCCATGTCAGCCTCTCTCATGTCTCTCTTTCCTCACAGAATACATTCCTTCATATGGCCAAGCATTCCACATCCCAAACACACACTTCTCCAGATCGTCCAGACCTACGAGCCAATGAAGGTATACTATACAGTGCATTCGGAAAGTATTCAGACCCCTTGACTTTTTCCACATTTTGTTACGTTACAGCCTTATTAAAAAAAAAAAAAGTTTCCTCATCAATCTAAACACAATACCCCATAATGAAATATCACATTTACATAAGTATTCAGACCCTTTACTCAGTACTTTGTTGAAGCACCTTTGGCAGCGATTACAGTCTTGAGAGTTCTTGCTCAGTTTGGCCGGGCGGCCAGCTCTAGGAAGAGTCTTGGTGGTTCCAAACATCTTCCATTTAAGAATGATGGAGGCCACTGTGTTCTTGGGGACCTTCAATGCTGCAGAATGTTTTTGGTAACCTTCCCCAGATCTGTGCCTCGACACAATCCTGTCTCTGAGCCCTACGGACAATTCCTTCGACTTCATGGCTTGGTTTTTGCTCTGACATGCACTGTCAACTGTGGGACCTTATAGACAGGTGTGTGCCTTTCCAAATCATGTCCAATCGATTGGATTTACCACAGGTGGACTCCAATCAATTTGCAGAAACATCTCAAGGATGATCAATGGAAACAGGATGCACCTGAGCTCAATTTCGAGACTCAAAGCAAAGGGTCTGAATACTTATGTAAATAAGGTATTTCTGTTTTTTATTTGTATACATTTGCAAACATTTCTAAAAACCTGTTTTCGGTTTGTCGTTATGGGGAATTGTGTGTAGATTAATGAGGAAAATATATAATTTAATCCATTTTAGAATAAGGCTGTAACGTAACAAAATGTGGAAAAAGGGAAGGGGTCTGAATACTTCCCGAATGCACTGTATATACAGAAGTATGTGGACACCCATTCCTATTAGTGGATTCTGCTATTTCAGCCACACCTGTTGCTGACACGTATATAAAATCCAGCACACAGCTATGCAATCTCCATAGACAAACTTTGGCAGTAGAATGGCCTTACTGAAGAGCTCAGTGACTTTCAACGTGATGCCACCTTTCCAACAAGTCAGTTCGTCAAATTTCTGCCCTTCTAGAGCTGTCCCGGTCAACTATAAGTGCTGTTATTGTGAAGTGGAAATGTTTAGGAGCAACAACGGCTCAGACGCGAAGCGGCCACACAAGCTCATAGAACGGGACAGCCGAGTACTGAAGCGCGTAGCGCGTAAAAATAGTCTGTCCTCGGTTGCAACACTCACTACCGAGTTCTAAACTCTCACTGGAAGCAATGTCAGCACAAGAACTGTTAGTCGGGGGCTTCATGAAATGGGTTTCCATGGCCAATCAGCCACACACAAGCCTAAGATCACCATGCACAATGCCAAACGTCATCTGGAGTGGTGTAAAGCTCTCCGCCATTGGACTCTGGAGCAGTGGAAACACATTCTCTGAGGTGATGAATCACGCTTCACCATCTGGCAGTCCGACAGACGAATCTGGCTTTGGCAGATGCCAGGAGAACACTACCTTCCCGAACGCATAGCACCAACTGTAAAGTTTGGTGGAGGAGGAATAATGGTCTGGGGCTGTTTTTCATGTTTCGGGCTAGGCCCCTTAGTTCCAGTGAAGGGAAATCTTAACACTACAGCATACAATGACATTCTAGATGATTCTGTGCTTCCAACTTTGTGGCAACAGTTTGGGGAAGGCCCCTTCCTGTTGCAGAATGACAATGCCCCCATGCATAAAGCGAGGTCCATACAGAAATGGTTTGTCGAGATCCATGTGGAAGAACTTGACTGGCCTGCACAGAGCCCTGACCTCAACCCCATCGAACACCTTTGGGATGAATTGGAACGCTGACTGCGAGCCAGGCCTAATCGTCCAACATCAGTGCCCGACCTCACGAATGCTCTTGTGGCTGAATGGAATCAAGTCCCCGCAGCAATGTTCCAACCTCTAGTGGAAAGCCTTCCCAGAAGAGTGGAGGCGGTTATAGCAGCAAAGGGGGACCAACTCCATATTAATGCACATGATTTTGGAATGAGATGTTCGACGAGCATTTTGGTCATGTAGTGTAAATCCTCTGATATGCACTAGACTGGGAACAATAATGTCCATAATGAGTTAGGAGGATATTGGTTTATCTTGTCTCTTTCCTGTGACCCAGCAGGGCCAACCTCTGAGCTTCAACCCTGAGGTGTTCAGTGATCTCAACATCCAGCCGGTGGAGCTGGCCGGGGAGCAGCACGTTACTGCCCAACCCACTGACTCTGACGCCCAATACCTCACTGAGGTCAAAGATCAATGCCTCATTCAAGAGTGTGATGGGGATACGAAGTCCTGCCATAGCACCAGTACTGGAGGGTCGGAGGCCATACTGTTGAGGTGTGAGTCCCCAGGAGAGCACCTCAACTTTGGGGCTGGGAGCACTGACTCCAACATGTGCATCCTGGATCTGAAGAGTGACACGGAGAGCGTGGAGACAGACGACAGTGATGGTAACGTTGGTTCTGAGGCGCTAGGTGCTACCCAGCAAGATGAGGTGTATGTCACCATGTCTAGTTTCTATCAGATCCAGTGAGAGATGTAGAGAGAGAGAGATAGATTATATGTATAGAGATATATATATATATATTCAAGGTTATGGCTGCTTATTACATTCTTACTCTGAGCTCTGAGTGACTTTGTTAACGGCTGCTTTTATTTTAAGTCTATTTGATCCACTATGACTCAAAATGATTATCCACTGACTCCCAGTATCACAAGAGACTAGCAGAACTCAATGCACATGTTATTTACAAATGATAGGAGACAGAACAGGAATAATCCTCATTGTGTTTCTTTGGTCTTGTGTTATTAATCTGTTGGTAGCTGCACAAGACAAGGGAGAACTTGACTTGACTAACTTGAAATACAAAGCTGTCCCTCCTTTATATATTATTTTTGCATTTGCACTTCTTCCCATTCTGTATATTATACTGAGGATAATATACTGAGCCACCGTGACACCCTGGCCTAATATTATTATAATTATTACAATACACGCTGCTGCTTCTTATGGCCTTCACAAAGATACTCTTTACTTTACCATGACAACAGCTGCAAAGTAAACCTAGAATGTATAATTCAATTCCTCAGGGTTTAAACCCTTCTACACATTTATATACATAAATTAATCAAACCTTATTTCCATGTTTATCTGACAAATGTGTCATTACGTTTTTTTGTGTCTTTTTTGCACATAAATGATTGTATTTCCTGCAGTTACCAGTATGTTGTTTTTTACTTTGAATGTACAGTGAGGGAAACAAGTATTTGATCCCCTGCTGATTTTGTACATTTGCCCACTGACAAAGAAATGATCAGTCTATAATTTTAATGGTAGGTTTATTTGAACAGTGAGAGACAGAATAACAACAAAAAAATCCAGAAAAACAGATGTAAAAAATGTTATAAATTGGTTTGCATTTTAATGAGGGAAAAAAGGATTTGACCCCCTCTCAATCAGAAAGATTTCTGGCTCCCAGGTGTCTTTTATACAGGTAACGAGCTGAGATTAGAAGCACACTCTTAAAGGGAGTGCTCCTAATCTCAGTTTGTTACCTGTATAAAAGACACCTGTCCACAGAAGCAATCAATCAATCAGATTCCAAACTCTCCACCATGGCCAAGACCAAAGAGCTCTCCAAGGATGTCAGGGACAAGATTGTAGACCTACACAAGGCTGGAATGGGCTACAAGACCATCGCCAAGCAGCTTGGTGAGAAGGTGACAACAGTTGGTGTGATTATTCACAAATGGAAGAAACACAAAATAACTGTCAATCTCCCTCGGCCTGGGGCTCCATGCAAGATCTCACCTCGTGGAGTTGCAATGATCATGAGAACGGTGAGGAATCAGCCCAGAACTACACGGGAGGATGTTGTCAATGATCTCAAGGCAGCTGGGACCATAGTCACCAAGAAAACAATTGGTAACACACTACGCCGTGAAGGACTGAAATCCTGCAGCGCCCGCAAGGTCTCCCTGCTCAAGAAAGCACATATACAGGGCCGTCTGAAGTTTGCCAATGAACATCTGAATGATTCAGAGGACAACTGGGTGAAAGTGTTGTGGTCAGATGAGACCAAAATCGAGCTCTTTGGCATCAACTCAACGTGTTTTGAGGAGGAGGAATGCTGCCTATGACCCTAAGAACACCATCCCCACCGTCAAACATGGAGGTGGAAACATTATGCTTTGGGGGTGTTTTACTGCTAAGGGGACAGGACAACTTCACCGCATCAAAGGGACGATGGACGGGGCAATGTACCGTCAAATCTTGGGTGAGAACTTCCTTCCCTCTGCCAGGGCATTGAAAATGGGTCGTGGATGGGTATTCCAGCATGACAATGGCCCAAAACACATGGCTAAGGCAACAAAGGAGTGGCTCAAGAAGAAGCACATTAAAGGTCCTGGAGTGGCCTAGCCAGTCTCCAGACCTTAATCCCATAGAAAATCTGTGGAGGGAGCTGAAGGTTCGAGTTGCCAAACGTCAGCCTCGAAACCTTAATGACTTGGAGAAGATCTGCAAAGAGGAGTGGAACCAAATCCCTCCTGAGATGTGTGCAAACCTGGTGGCCAACTACAAGAAATGTCTGACCTCTGTGATTGCCAACAAGGGTTTTGCCACCAAGTACTAAGTCATGTTTTGCAGAGGGGTCAAATACTTATTTCCCTCATTAAAATGCTTATCAATTTATAACATTTTTGACAAGCGTTTTTTTGGATTTTTTTGTTGTTATTCTGTCTCTCACTGTTCAAATAAACCTAACATTAAAATTATAGACTGATCATGTCTTTGTCAGTGGGCAAACGTACAAAATCAGCAGGGGATCAAATACTTTTTTCCCCTCACTGTATTATACTATTACTATACTATGTACTATCATACATTAATTTTCAATGCAGAACGCTTGATCAATTTGTTGAACATTTTAGGTGAGACATAGCATTAGACATAGTCATCATCAGCTTCGTTATATTACTGCTTTTTTTTTCTGTAGCCATCTGGTGTTTGTAGACTGAATGACTGTTGGTGAATTTTGTGTTTAAACATTTTATTAAATGTAGGGCTGCAGGTAGCTTAGTGGGTAAGAGCGTTGTGCCAGTAACCGAAAGGTCGCTGGTTCAAATCCCCGAGCTGACTAGGTGAAAAATCTGTCGATGTGCCCTTAAGCAAGGCACTTAACCCTAATTGCTCCTGTAAGTCGCTCTGGATAAGAGCGTCTGCTAAATGACTAAAATGTAAAAAATGTAAAATTAAACAGATCAAATTGCATGCATAAAAAATAAATAAAAAGTAAATTTATTATGCTCTCATCCCCTAAAATGACCGTACTTTGATCTATCATTAATGTTGTATCTGCTCAACCAATCTGAATGTAAGGTGATCTCTATGCTTTTCCTGTGTCTTCATAAAGTTGTATCTAACACTGACGCCTCAATCAGACCGAAAGCGTCATTGCGTTTTGGTACACCAGAAGTACATTCATTTCCAAAGGAATGCTGCTTTTGCTTTGCAGCATTGCGTTGGAAAGCAGTTGCATTGCGTTCTGTGTAGTGCATACGTTGGATATATCCAACATATGCATAAAATTGTATGGTAGATGCATGCGTTCAGTATAGTTGCGTAGCTACACAAAATGGTATGCAATGACGCTGCCGGTCTGATCGAGGCGTCAAACTGTGGACTACAGTTTTCTACAATACATAATATAGCCAAATGTAGTTAGTTAGCTTCTGGAGAGAGGGACTAATTGAAATACATATTTTCACATAGCACAAAATATTAACAAGTCATTCATTAACATTTGCATATCATTGGGAAATTATAAATATTAGTTTGTCAACATGATTTCCATAATGAAATATTCGTTTAAGAAGGCACCTTGAAGAACAGTCCATTAAAAAGCATTACCATAAATGTATCAACTTAAAACTCATAATTTCCATGCATTTTTCATCATGAGAATGAAATAGACATCACTATCGATGGAGGCGCTGACTCCGCAGTAGTAGTTCAGAAACTCCTCCTTGGTGACCTGCAGATGGGGAGGAAGTGACAGACAGAGCTTACTGAACCAGCCTATACCATCAGTGTCAGATAGACAGAAAATCCACATTGCCCTGATAAGGCTGAAAACTGGAACACCAAAGAGGTGAAAGGGACAGACAAGGTTGTATGAGAGCTGAGGGTGTCAATCTTTTGCTACATCCATCAATACTCATGTTTCTCAATGCAGATTCAGAAATTTTTATCTAACGTCCAAATGCTTATTTAATCTGGCCACTAAGGTGCATTATACACTAAACAAAAATATAAACGCAACATGTAAAGTGTTAGTCCCATGTTTCAGGGGCTGAAATAAAAGATCCCAGAAAGTTTCCGTACACACTATAAAGCTTATTTCTCTCAAATGTTGTGCACAAATCTGTTTACATTCCTGTTCGTGAGCATTTCTCCTTTGCCAAGATAATCCATCCACCTGACAGGTGTGGCATATCAAGAAGCTTATTAAACAGCATAATCATTACAAAAGGTGCTGGGGACAATAAAAGGCCACTCTAAAATGTGAAGTTTTGTCACACAACACAAAGTCTCAAGTTTTGAGGGAGCGTGCAATTGGCATGCTGACTGCACGAATGTCCACCAGAGCTGTTGCCAGAGAATAGAATGTTAATTTATCTACCATAAGCTACCTCCAACGTCGTTTTAGAGAATTTGGCAGTACATCCAACCGGCCTCACAACCGCAGACCACGTGTAACCACGCCAGCCCAGGACCTCCACATCCGGCTTCTTCACCTGTGGGATTGCCTGAGACCAGCCATCCGGACAGCTGATGAAACTGTGGGTTTGCACAATCTTAGAATTTCTGCACAAATTGTCAGAAATCATCTCAGGGAAGCTCATCTGCATGCTTGCCGTCCTCATCAGTGGGCAGATGCTCACCTTCGATGGCCACTGGCACGCTGGAGTTGTGCTCTTCACAAATGAATCCCGGTTTCAACTGTACCGGGAAGATGGCCGACAGCGTGCATGGCATCGTGTGGGCGAGCGTTTTGCTGATGTTAACGTTGTAAACAGAGAGCCTCATGGTGGTGGTGGGGTTATGGTATGGGCAGGCAGGCAGGCATAAGCTATTGACAACAAAAACATTTGCATTTTATTGATGGAAATTTCGATGCACAGAGATACCGTCATGAGATCCTGAGGCCCATTATCATGCCATTCATCCGCCGCCATCACATCATGTTTCAGCATGATAATGCACGGCCCCATGCCCCTTGTACATAATTCCTGGAAGCTGAAAATGGCCCAGTTCTTCCATTGCCTGCATATTCACCAGACATGTCACCCATTGAGCATGTTTGGGATGATCTGGATCGACGTGTACGACAGCGTGTTCCAGTTCCCGCCAATATCCAGCAACTTTGCACAGCCATTGAAAAGGAGTGGGGAAAACATTCCAAAGGTCACAATCAACAGCCTGATCAACTCTACGCGAAGGAGATGTGTCGCACTGCATGAGGCAAATGGTGGTCGCACCAGATACTGACTGGTTGTCTGATCCACGCCCCTACCTTTTTTTAAAGGTACCTGTGACCAACAGATGTATATCTGTATTCCCAGTCATGTGAAATCCATAGATTAGGGCCTAATGAATTAATTTCAAATGACTGATTTCCTTATATGAACTGTAACTCAGTAAAATCTTAGAAAGTGTTGCATGTTGCGTTTCTATTTTTGTTCAGTGTAGAACTAGACAAAATAAAACCTTGACATCTGCTGGCTGACAGTGAGAAACACAGCTACACCAACTACCAGTTCTACTAGAATTACACTACTAGGTACTGTACCATGTACATGTTGCCCTGTAACAGTTTGATAGCTTTGACAGTTTGACAACTTTGAGAAATAGGCCTAAAGCGCCCCAAAATTCTAAGAGCAGTGTAAATACCTTGAGGACAGGACTAAAGAACTGAAAGTAGAGCATTACACCCCACTAAACTACTGCATAGAGAATAAGCAGAAGGAAACACCATGGCATCTGCTGTCCATATCCCAAGGTTGAGTGCTCTTTAGTCTTTACCCTAAACATCTAGAAGACGTTAGTTAAGTTTCCAGGCCCTTTTCATCATGATAATAAAGTAGATATCCGTATCAATGGAGGCACTCACGCCTGCATAGTAATTAATGAACTCCTCGTGTGACCTAATGTGTTCCAGAAATAAGACATGATGATCAACAAGAACAAGGCAGTAGCTTATACAATATAACAACAATTTAAGATGGTTTCACAGATAAGCAGTAAATGTCAGGAGCCTAAGAAATGTGTCTCATATGCGTCCAGATAATCTCATTCATATCTGACTGAATAATGTACAGGCTGTTAGTTGAGCAGTATAGGTGGATGATGCTAAGACCATAATTATATCTATCCAACATTTCCATATTTTACAACCCTGATGCCTGAAAGTGACCAAGTACTGTATGTGTAATGTTATCAGTATTACCTGTCCGTCCTTGTCATAAGGAGAGTCGAAGCTGTCCAGGAATTTGCGGAATACTTGCTCCTCTGTCCATTCCCCGTTTTGATATTTGGGGTGGTACTTAACGTTGTAAACCCCCCTCAGATCTTCAATAGTGATCACCCCGTCATTAGTCTTATCCAGCTTCCTAAAGGCCTGCATGATCACCTCCTTCCTGGCATTGGACATCGGGGGCTGTAATCATAACCAGCAAAACCAGAAATAATGCACAATGTTTACAAATGGCATAAGTGTGATCACATTTGTCTTATCATGTACGTCAGAGGCTTACCCCTACCACTCATATTTACCCTGAGAGTGAGGAGAAATTCATCAAAGTCGATGAATCCACTGTTGTCCCGGTCAAAACGCTGAAACATTGCTATGGCTTCCTCTTTCTCGATGAGGACACCATAGTCATTAAGGCCCTTCATAAACTCCTTCATATCTAATGTACGGTTGTTGTCATCATCCATTATCTTGAATGTTCTGACAGATAATTAAACAATTGAAGAAGAAAACATATAAATACTTAGCTGTTGAAGAAAATTAGACAGTATTTCTTGGAGTTTACATTACTGAAACATTCCTTGCATTTTATAAACCAACCAAGAGCTGTCCTTAGCTTAATTCAGACTACTTTACAGGCTTGACTAGTGAAATATTTGATACAGTAGGCCTGTTAATCACTACTGCATCAAACATTTGATGTTGATGACCTCCTGGGCAACACTTGATATAGAACCATTAACTCTGTCCATCACATAAAAGTATACCGTCTTTCTCTCACCTGCCCAGGCCTTTGATGCCAGAAGAGCCTCTTGCAAGACACTGCAGCCTCAGGCTTTCCACAGGGTCTGTGCACACAGACAACTGTTTTTTGGCGTTCACTGCCATCTCCCGATCATGTCGTGACGTCCCTGCCATGATACCTGCAGCATGGAAAAACATGTGCATAACTCATTTCCATGCATACAGTGCGATTTGATACAGAAAACATTAAGACAGTTAACAATGATGTCTAGTACAGTATTTGAGTGACGTTGGTGACAAAGATGCATGAAACATAAAGCTAGAGCTATGCGATAGCTGTGACAAAAAGGGCGTAGTGGGGAAAGGAACTGGTAGGTTCAGGTTGTCACCTGGCGCATGCTAGCTGAACGGTCAAACTAGCCTAGCAAGTAGTTTGCATTATGACCATGTTTGCAATCAAGTCTGACTGTTACATTTAGATATTTAGCGTCTTATTTACCAAACACAAGTTTTTTTGCTACTTTATCTGTAGATGCGAGCAACTTACCTTACAAGTTAATATTGCAACCTGTAACTGTAAACAACACATCAGCAGCGGCCCCTCTCTCCAGTCCCCACCCCTACGCGTTTCCATAGAAATGTGGGCTGCCTTCTGCTCTTGCCTGCCGCCCTTGGCCCTTCAGAGCAAATCACCTTACGAAAAGTGGTGTAAAGTAACTACGTAAAAATACTTTGAAGTACTAATTAAATAGTTTTTGGGGTATGTGTACATTACTATTTATATTTTTTGACAACTTTTACTTCACTACATTCCTTAAGAAAATATGTACTTTTTACTCCCATAGATTTTCCCAGAGTTCTAGTCACATTTCCAATGCTCAGCAATGTCAGCAATAGGGTCCAATTCACGCACCTGTCAATATTTTACATTTGAATCATTTAGCAGACGCTCTTATCCAGAGCGACTTACAGTTAGTGCATTCACATTAAGATAGTTAGATGGGACAACCACATCAAAGTAAGTAGCCTACATTAGTCCTCAATATTACGCATTTTCATCCCTACTGCCTCTGATCTGGCAGACTCACTAAACTTTTACTCAAGTAGTATTTTACTGGGTGAGTTTCACTTTTACTTGAGTCATTTTCTATTAAAGTATCTTTGCTTTTACTCAAGTATGACAATTGAGTACTTTTTCCACCACTGCTTACAAAGATCCAAATAACCTTTTATTATTGAAAAGAAAGGTTACTCAAGTGCACCATACTGTAGGTGCCCCTTGTCCCGGCTGTAAATTGCCAGTACTCCCCACAAAATACGATAGGAATACATAATTTTAAGATGCTTTATTTTATTCCACAACACTGGTATAACATTATTTTAGTCTAAATGCTACATTTAAAAAAACACAGAGGACCAACACCTGGGTTTAATAAATTATAACATTCCAGCATCAGAATAAATGTGCAAAGAAAATGAAATATACCTGTACATAATATATTTCAAGATACAAAGCAAAAACGTCTTCACCAAAATCATCAGTGTGAGGTTACCCATCTCACTAACACTACAGCACACTGTATAATTCATTAGGAACTTTACTTCATTTCTTACTTTTTACAAAAAGAGATTTTAAGGAGATTAAGTTAAATGGACATCTAATCTCTTGACCATTTTTTACTCAGTAATAGGAACCCCATAGCTACCAGTGAGCTTTGTTAACAGATGCCATTCAATTAATTTACAATAAATAGCATGTTGTACATGTGTTGACCTTTTCTGTCTGCTATATTAAAATAACCATATAAAACAAAAAAGCAAACAAAATATACAACAGTGTATCATTAACAAAGACATGGAGAGAGACTGGTTAAATCTCAAATATTATTTACAGCAGATTACATTCAATTACAATTTAACATGATTTTAGGATAATTGTCCAACTCCTTCAAATATGAATATCATGCATTTAACCTGCATGCTATTGAGTGTGTGTGTGTGTGTTAAATCTGAATTCCTCAATCCAACCAAGCTCAAACAGTAGTTATTTCATGTTGACACATTGTGCAGTCCTACTTTTGGGACCCTGCATTGAAAGGTGTTTGGGAATGTACAGTATTTCAGAGATGTAATGACCTGTTGCTTTGCTGTACCTGCCAGCAAGACTTCTTGATCAATGTAAGAAGAAATATTTAAAATGCAAGACATTTGAAGGTCACTTTTTGTTGTTGTTGATTGAGCCAAGTAATTAAAACCAAAAATATAATCATAATTGGGAAAATGTGCATTTGCCATTTTCGTAATTCAGTCAAATAAACAAAAATAAAACAATATGGCACAATGATACCCCAAAAAGACTTCAGTAGATTCGTAACACCTAAAATTCAAATAGTTTGACAATAAATAAGGCTTTACTAATGTCAAGCAGTCAATGGTTAATGACACAATATTGCAAATTATTTTTAAACAGGCCTTAATAGAATTTAACCAAATAAATTCTCAAAACACAAAAGTTTAAGGTTATTCTGACATTAGGAATAGAATATAGAGTATAAGTCACAATTAACAGCAATGGTAAATTGCTTTTTAGTATCAGCTGTATCATCAATTGCAACATCTCTAGCATTGTGGGCCGAATTCGAACTTGAGTTCCGATTTGCACAAATCCGACATCAATTCACTTGCACAAAAAAATGTGAGTTAAGAACACACATCTCAAGTTAGTATTCAGCTCTATGGGCAGTACAAACACCATGTGTTAATTCAGTTAACTCAGTGTGAGCTGGATCACATAGATTATACAATAAATAGAGGACTGGCTATACTGTACACTTGGTTTCTATGGTAGCAGCTTCAGAAACAGACCCAAGCAACTGTCCTTCCTTCCATAAAGCAGAACCATAAATCATAGAATCATACAAGACTGACAAGTGACAACACAAATTAATTGAAACATTGATAATTTGTCTAACTATTTCTATTTTGCTGGCACAGTTAAATAAGTAGGTAGTTAGGAACTTTTCGGAGATAAATACAACTTCATAAAATATATACTGTATATATAATGTCTTCCCCCCAAAATATCCTTAATTAGTGGTAATTAACGTTACTTATCTTCTCATCAAAATTATTAACAATTCGCTCAGCCCATCAACCAGATCTTTGAGGGAAGACACTTCAAATATCCCAGGGGGTATCAAATGAACAGAGGACCTTGAATTGAAATTCATGCACATCAGTAATAACTGAAATGACAAAACGGATTAACAATGATAAGCCCAAATGGGGTAAAGGTCTGCATTCATGACATGCTGCACATTGGCTGGCACAGGGGAGGACAGCTACCTGCCTAATGGGGAAGTGTATATCAACAGCCACTGGAGTGTTCTGACAGGCGACAAGCTATTGGACACGAGGGGCAGCAGATACAGTGCAGTGTGGGATAGAGGTCATGTGCTACATTCACAGAGGTTGAGAGATAACGTCTTCCCTGAAAAGTGGAAGATGAAAATGCATGTGTATTTCTAGCTTTCCTGTTCATTCGACTCTCCCTCTACTTCTCTCAAACGTCATCAAAGATTCTGCTCCGTGACGAGGACATGGACAGGTACCTGCCTGGTACATGTCTGCAACATGGAGAGGCACAGTGAGCATACTGTATATGTTTAACAACACTTACTTCTGTGTGATTTGCTTACAGGTATCGACCACAGCAGAGCAGAAAGTGATACTACCACACTTAAATTAGATAGAGTGGGGACTGGAGGACATATTACCTGGTGGAGTCTGCTTCAAGAGGGTCATCTGAAAGTGTCTCTGCATTGAAGTCCAAAGGCTCTGCGTCCTGGAGAAGTTCTATAGAGTCTCTCTCTGTTCCTCTGCCAGTCCGAGAGTACTTTGCCTCTGTTGGAGAAAAAACAACGATCAATACCATATCACTGCCTTCCGCAGTTAAATTCAGATACATGTTTAAGGGATTTATTAAGAAGTTGTGGGGTTGATATCCTTAGTGGCATCATGATAAGACAAGACTCTACAATAGGAAACGAACCAGTGATTAATTGTTTAACAAACAGTGAGTAAAATCTAGCCAAACTGTAGAAAAACAAGCACAACGTAATGTAAGTAGGCTTTGCGACCATTCACTCACGTCTATTAGTGTTAGGGACAGTATCAGAGTAGTTGGTCTCAGTCATTTCTGCTGCTTCATTTCTAATCCTGTTCCTGGCGGTGTCTTCCCGCGTGTTACCATAGCGCTCCTTCCACTCCTAGAATACGGGCACAAGCCTGACGTTATCATCTTGATGTTTCTTTGCAAAAAATAACTACCAACGCACACACTAAAGGGGCATGGGAAATGAAAACTAGGCACTCACCCTTCGTCGGTTCTCTCCATCCTCTATCCTTTGGCGCTTTCTTTTCTCTGTCAGAAACACAGAGAAATCACTAAGTACCGTTGTTTTAGTCGCCAACAACATATACACAGAAAACCAAAGCTTTTTTCACTGTCAAATGGTTAATTCAAGTGGTGCCAAACCTCGCCGAATGAGCTCCTTGCCCTCATCAATCAGGTCAGAGGTCATTTCATTGTCTCCCACAAACTGCTGAAAGCCCAGGAGGTTCAGACAGCGGGTGCCCAAGCTAAAGGGTTCATACAGAAACAATGAGGGTCATAAATCAATACACGTTCTTGCACAGTATGCATGTGTGCTGACAGTCGTTTTGGGTCATTGGAGGAGTACTCCTTGTAGAACAGTAAGTTGATATCCTCATGTATCCTAGTATTATTAATATACAAATGCAATGTAATTCCAATATCTAAACAGCAGACTGGACTCACCTGAAGTAGGTAGCAATGCAGAGCAACAATATAAGCATGGGGTAGTAGATGTAGAAGCCATTAGCTATGAACGACAGGACCCTCATTGAACCCATGATCTGCAGAGGAGTGACATATCATCAACATGAGGCCAATAACACATCAATGATTGCGTTCGATCACTGTCAGAAGGATGTGCTGTGTCTTACAGAGGTGTAGGCCGTCTGCTCCTTCTGTTGGTGGGAGATAGCAGAGTCCATGTGGATCAGACCCAGGAAGTTCAGACACAGAGGAGGGGTCAGACGGCAGAACAGCCTAAAGATCAACAAGACTACATTAGACATTTAGCATTAAATCATGTTACATAAACATATACCAGGGGAAAAGTAAGAGATGGTATGGACATTGTCAGTGTAGCCGTCCACATACAGTATAGCTCTGTGCACAAATACAACAAAACATACACGATTTTCTGAATGTCAATTTCCTCCATTTCTACCATATACAGTCTATGATTTCTAGAGATGTTTTATCTCTTTGATACTTAGCTAATGCTATCCAATCAGACCCAAATTCCTCCTCTCACTGCTCTCTACCGTCCAGTCACTTACATGCCACTGAACTGCAGGCTGTAGGCATCAGTCTGGTGGTGTGAGGCCAGGTAGTAGTAGTTGAACACTCGGATCCGGAACACAGTGGAGTAAACACAGGTGCACAGGAAGAAGATGGTGATGAAGCACGCCATCTAGTGGACAGAACAATAACATTCATGTGAGAGACCGACATGCTCCAACTGAATTATGCATACACAACAGCATTATCAGATTCACCAATTAGTACAGTCGTACACCAGTAATTGCATTCCGTTGGCATCTCACCTCGATGTACAAGTAGTTGTAGTCTCTCTCAGCGAGCTGGATGAAGACAGCGAAGAGTGAGAGGACGGGCCGGGTGCTGAAGAAGGTGCACTCAGACCACACCACGGCCACAGAGAACAGAGACAGCACCACAGCCAGCAGCCGGTAGAACCACTGTCTCAGCAGGCACTCCCAGTACCACTCTGGAGAGGAACGTACAAACACATAAGCTCGTCAAGGATCTTAGACGTTCTGTAACATCCCAAATGAGAAGCGGAATGGAAGACAGGGTAAGGCCCATTAGTGAGACCTGCACCCGACACTGCGAAGAGTATACTGTAGGTGGGAGTGAACAGTCAGTTGTAAAGTTGATCCAGAGGGTATGTGACCCACCTACGGTAGGAGTGTAAAAGTATCGGCTGAGCCAGCTAGTTGGTTCTGTGGAGGGGAAGCTGTGGACAAACTGGTGGACTGAGCTGGTCTCATTCTTGGCCACGTCCTCCAGGTGCATAGCCTGCTGCAGGAGGATCTGCCACTGGACACGGGTCCTGTTGTGCCTCTGCACTGCGTAGATCACCTGACCATTCACAAAGAACCACATTAGTCTCATTTAAACACAATTTAATCTAATATAGCTAATGGATATATCAGTTAAATGTCAAAGAAAACACAATTAAATATATATCTTCATTTTACTTGTTTGTGAAGCTTCACCAGGCTCTTCTCACTGGGATAGGTGTTCTGTTTGTCATCAAAGTCCTCATAGTCATCCATGTTTCTACCCATCTTCTCCTGGTAGTCCACAGGGCACTAAGGGAGAAAACTCTGTGTTAGGATTAACAAAGGCACCTGACTTTCTCAGGCCACGTCACATTCCTCACTTGTTGTGGAGAGTGTGCACATCTCATTCACTGACAATGTGAGGTTGGGCTCCACATTCTTCACTAAGAATGTGCAATTGTTTCGTTCTTCGTGAGGTTTACCTTTCTAAGAACAGTATCGATGTACTTCCTCAGTGGGTGGTTATACTTGATGGCTTCTTGGACCTTTCTCACTTCCTAAAACAGATGCACAAGAAATGTGGACCAAAGAAAAGGACATAAATGAACACTAGGAGAGCCGAGAGCATCATGTTGACTCAAAACAAATGTACTTTAATTACTCTGCCATTTTTTAAGTCATGCCATGTCCCCCCGTCCTTGACTTTTCCTAAATAAGTCTATATAACACACTGTCGTTGTTAGAATCTTAATATCACAAACAGAATGTGTTAAAGCAGTTTTAAGAGGACATCCTTTTTTCCCCACAGGCCCCTCATTCACTGGCAGTCAGTGATGGCCCATCGAATCTACACCTAAACTAAATCAAAACTAATTTCACACATATAATAATAGAGTTAGCCTAAAGATGAGATTAAATTGACAATAGTCTGATGGGTGAGAATATTATAAATTGTATATGAAGAATCTGATGAACAGCGGGGCTTGGAATTGACACAGAGGCAGGTAAACGGAGCGCCAAAAAGTAACTTTTTCAAATGATGTCTATATAGTATCAGAGCAGTGTAGTGGAATTTTACTGTGTCTCTTTCTGCTTTTTCAGTGTCTCACACTTATCATACATGTTTGACCTGTTGCATACTTAGAAATGTGCCTGTTGTAGACAGACAGGGTGTCGGATGTTTGCTCTCACAAGGTTGGCTCAGCGGGAGTGGAAATATTGGCTGAAAGCCCAGACTCTGTGGTTGCCAGGTGTTCTCCTCCTCTGCTGCCGGTCTCTGGGAGCAAACGCTTTGCTGAGAAAGGATGCACTTGGCTATCTTTGTGTAACCCGTAGCGATAGTATAAATATGCTGAGGGGGAAATACCTCGTCAGAGCTTCTGACTAAACTCCACATTAAGTGCTGTTTGTCTGTAATCTCTCCTCTGGCGTGAATAAACATTAATTCATTTAAGCTCGACTTTGGGGTCCTTAGTGGTAATTTCCACGACAGCAGATTCTGCAGTTTCCAAATTACCCATCATTGTCAAAACAACCCTTGAGCTCTATTAAAAAATATATCACTTTTGGTCAGAATTACCATGATTCTGTGAACTCGCAACACTCAAAGCACAGTAATATATTTAAACTGAAAATATGCCATTCTGTTCTTTTTAAATGCATTTTTGTTAAATAATGTTCCTTAAGACATGCCCTTAATGAATTAATAATTAATGATCTTTGTGATGGTGTTTATTTAAATGGTTAACACAAATTGTGGCATTTTAGTGGTTCTTCATTTGTATGGTCTACAGTTGAAAATGTTATTGTGTTCTTTGAAAATACATTTTGTATTCTAATGTTACCTTCATAAACACAACCAAAATTATATTTTTCTGCGATAGCATACTGTATATAAAATGTATTTATTAGACTGTTAGAATGTTGACGTTCAAAAGACGCGCCATTGGCCCGAAAGTGGGTCTAACGAGGCCAGGCTTTTCTAGTGTTAAACACAATTCAACTCCGTTTCTAAGAAACAGAGCACTCTAAAGTTTCCATTTCGTAGTGAGAGCAGGAAGTATTCCCTACCTCCATGACATCCTCTAGGTTCTCCTCTGCATCAGCCTTCTCTGTCATCAGCTTGGCTGCCTTGAAGTAGGTCTTGATGAGCAGGTGTCCCTGCCGCGAGGCATTCCAATAGGAGCGCGGAATCTCCACCAGGCCATAACCCAGCAACAGCACCAGCAGGAACAGGCCCCAGGTGTTGGCTGCAGTGATACCTATTGTCTGCAGCTCATACCTGAGAGGCAGGGAGACAGACCAAACCAGATTTACATGAGACAAAGACATACACGGTTCCTCCTAATTACCCTTCTGTTTGTACGGTGTTGTGTAGAATACAACGAGGTGAAATACGTTAAACGTGTTTTTGTAGTCAACAGCACACTTTCCAAACCACAAGTCTAATTTGTCCATGTTGCTGTGCACTCACCAGGAGAGGTGCCACTGAGGGTGAACGGCCACATAGATGAGCAGTGAGCCAAAGATGAGCAGGTATGTTCCGTAATAAATGGCATTCTCTATCAGTGCCGTCTTTATTTTCCCAGTGATGGAAAAGCCCCCTGAGCGTGCATAGGACTGCATGAAGGGCAGCAGTAGCCTGCAAGAACAAGGACATCTGGAGTAAGGCAGGTGTACTAGAGTATGTGCATTAAGAAAACATTTCTATAGGGAGAGATGTGGGTAATTGGCTTAGTAAGGAAAGACTGTCAGTCAAACTAAATTAACTTGGGCAGACAATTTCTGTCCAAGTCCTTTTCAGTGTAGTGTTTCCAGTACAAGCACATACAACACCATGCACATTCTGCTCTAACCCTCACCAGGTGAGACACTGAGATGTCCAGTAAACAACCCTCCAGAACACGGGCATGATTCCATCCGGAATGTAGCTCCATGGTTTGTAACACACCTTTGGAACACTGTCAAGGAAAACACAAAGTGTTAATATGGAAGCAAGGTCTCTGATCTTGAATGGCACACATACACAATCCATGTCTCAATGGTCTCAAGGCTTAAAAATCCTTCTTTAACATGTCTCCTCCCCTTCATCTACACAGATTGAAGTGGATTTAACAGGTGACATCAATAAGGGATCATAACTTCCACCTGGTCAGTCTATGTCATGAAAGAGCTGGTGTTCCTATTGTTTTGTATACCCAGTGTATACAGTCACTGTACTAGTGACCTATTTAAGATGAATCAAAACATTGAAACTGGAGCAAAGTACATGAACATTGATCTTCATATTCAAACAATTAAACTCCAATGTTTGCCTTGTATAAACCATTAGGGTAATATCTCAGACTGGGAGAAAACACTTTACATAACGACAAGCAAAACTAAAAAGGACCAGATGTACTCAACATTTCATGGTAGGAAGAGGCTGGACTTTTATAAGTGAAATTAGATTACGTCTAGCTGTTGCAAATAAATGTGTGTGACAACAGATAAACAAAACCTGCCTTGTAATCTTATTTAGATGAGCCTCTGCAAAACCTCTCTCTGGTTTGAGAAGACAGCTGAAACACAGTCTCATGTTTTGAATTACAGCAATGGTTACTGCCTTCTGGCTGGGCCCCTCATCCCTGGTCTTTGGTAACCAGTGTATGCTGGTGTTTTGTTCAACCAAATCCTGACCTTTGACCAATCATGTCATTACCCTGAGTGCTGAACCAAATCCTATGACACATGAACATATGATGACACCCTCTGCACTCTAACCTTTTAGTGGCAGTGGCCACAGTTGAGTTTCCAGCTGTTTGATTGGATAGCAGTGGGGTCACAGGGGGTACGGCGGCATGTTCTTCATGATCAATCTTACACTGCTTGTAGATTGTCTGAAAGGTCAAACACACAGACAAAGGAAGACATCAGAGAGGTATGCAAACACACACCACGTTACTGGTCACCATTTTGATCCAAGTTTTTTGTCAAAGGGAATGGATAAGATGGGGCTTCGGTGTGTGGTGAACGTGTGCAGTAATACACAGTAAATTCCATAGTGTTAAATATGCAGTGTCAAAGTACATTGACTCTTACAGAGTTATTACTACAACAGTTGGAGTAAGATACCGCCCAGTGTTGGTGAAAAAGTACGTTGTTAAAAGACGCAGTGTCAGACGTACTCTGGAAAGCTCCGCCCACCTACGACTCGTCTCAAACGGACCACACATTTTCACGGCGCCATTTTCTTCATGTGGAATGACTGCGGTAAGTTTCTCCTAAGCGACTATACACACATTATTTGTCATTTTAACAGAAGCAGCATTTAAGAATTACTTTATATCGTTGCTAACAGTGCACTCTAGTTGGTTTTAGGTCTTAAAATGTTGAATTTTAAAAAGGCTAACGTTAACATGTTGTGACTGACTTCTGTCCAGTCCATGTGCCAGCAGTATTAAGCTAACGTTAATTAACATTAACTGACGAACATAACGTTCAAACTAGACAATGTCAGCCCGATTTATTGTAAGTTATGTTAATACAACGTGGAGGGGGGATTGTGTACTTCTTGTTAACGTTCAGATATTACAGGAACATAGCAAAGACTAAGGGGAGTTGGCTAAACTAGCTACAGTTAGCTACGTTAGCTTGACTGGCTAACTATGTGCGGGTGGCATGGATTTATTATGTTAACGGCGGGTAGACATTAACCTTGGACACTGCTTAAGCGGTGTGCCTTTATTTTTTTCCTGGATATTATACAAAATGACTTTCGGGTTTCAAAGCAGCAGCAGTACTGTTAAAATACTTAAGCACTATCTTAGCACACACTTATGGTGTAACGTTTAGCTAACATTATTCAATTCAATGTTATTTATATTGTCAAATCATAACAAGAGTTATCTCAAGACACTTTACAGACAGAGTAGGTCTAGACCACACTCTATAATATACCAAGACCCAACAATTGCAGTAATTGTGCGGGCAAGGCGGTAACATTAATGTTACAAGGATGAAAATCAGACGTTATCCTTTTTAATGTGTTTGACAGTAACTTCAATTTAACTGGCCATTTCTGCAAAAGTGCTGATCATTTCTCAGCACTTTGGTGGCTTGAAACAATATTTTTTCTTATATTTGAGGAAATACTGCTAAAATAAGACCATCAACTTTTTAACTGTGAGAAATTGTACTGATACTATTTGCAGGGAGCATGCTGCTTAAAGCTAAACTTGGAGATGTCCAAAAATTTGTCAGAATAACTGAGCCAAATCTGAAAGACTTTTTGATTGCAGGTAAGAATTTGACAATGTTAGTAATAACTGTCTGAATTTAGCTGTTTAAAATTGATATACTGGAATATTCCTAAAATGATGGGACATGTTAAGTTCTCAGGTTTTTGGAACTGGTCCATTTTTGTACGTCTAAATTTCTTCTGTTTTGCCCTTGGTAACTACACTTTAATTGTGGATGCATTGCTTAAGGTATAGTTATGATGCTACAAAAAAAAACATTTTAATCACTTAATAGTGTTTGTTTAAAACCTATTTTATAGGGTAAGGTAGGTGTACACAGTGAAATTATTATATAAATAATGATTTACTTTTGTTTACACAAGCTTTTATCCCTGTTTTTTCTAGCATTTGCAAAGTTTGGTGTCCCAGCTGTAACAGAAGGTGTGAAAATTGTTGACAGTTCAGGGACTGAATTGGATGATGATGTTTTTGAGGATATTATAAAGGATCCCTCAACTGGGGTGCTAACCATCAAATATGACTCAGGTTTGTTTCAGTTAATTAGACTAATTAATGAATACGTTATTTCTTTGTTTTATGAAGTTCATGGTGTCTATTAAATAAGTGTCTTAGATTATGAGGGAACTATATATAATTCTTTTTCTTCTAAAAATCATGGTTAGAATCTGTCTCCATGGTGGCCTCTTCTGAGCAATCCCAACCATCATCCCTTGATACCTTGGACTCTGAGGATACAGTCATTATTTCAGATAGCCCCTCCAGAAAACGCCAGAGGCTGGATACAGAAGCCAAGCAAGTAAGACAATTCTGACATTTTAAATTCTGTTCTTGAATCTGTTCTCAGAGAATTAAAATTACATTAATATACATTGTAAATTACATGGTTTCAAAACATTTTTGAAGTCCTGATTAGGGATGTCCCGATCAAGTTTTTTTAAGCGCCCTATCCGATTAAAAAAAGTATCTGCTGATATTGAGTCCTGATCAGATACTTTTATTTATTTATTGATAATACAGTGCACACTTCGAGTACATTCAAGTTATTGTCGCTGTCTGGAGGGAGTTTCTTACCATTATTGGCTTTTTCATTGGATTTTTGTAGCACTTGCAATCTTTGAGATTGGATCGGGACATCCTCTGACATCATATTAGTTTATTTCCAGTTTATTTGCAGTGGACATAACATGCAGAATTGTTATGCATTTTGTTTTAAGTTGGTGGAATCAGCTCTTACCAACAAAACCGGTGGGGAACGTATAATAAATGAATACAACCGAACCAAGTCCTTGACGGATGAAACAAGACGCAAAATGGTGAACATGCTGGCAGCTGACATGACAGAAATTAATGGGTAATTTGTTAATAGTCCTTGTGTTCTCAATCTGTAAATCTAAATCTGAATCTAAGTGAATATGACTGCACAATCCTTTCTTCTTCAATTTTGCAGTACATCTCCACCCAGACAGGTGAAAGAAATGTATGCCAAAGGAATAGTGACCTTATTCCCGTACCTCAGTGACCCATTCTCTAAGAATGGCTATGTGAGTTGCACACAGTAATAGTTGTAATGTTAAATATTATTGGAAGTTTTTGAATCCTACCAGACCATGTTGTTTTCAATGAAGTATCCATTTTTGTTATCCTTTCATCCTTCAAGGAGCATTATTATGATGGCGAGAGTGGAACTGGGTACTTGGCCTGGAGGATTAAAACTATTCAGAGAGGCACCGCCAAAGACAGGCGATCATCATTCGGAGGTAATACTGGAAAATGTATGGAACAAAACAGTTGCTAGATCAATAATTGCATTTGTTGCACTATTTCTCAGACATATAGTATAATGTGTAACTACATCCTTCAATTCTGCTAGCTCCCTCCCTCTTAGCAAATTTAAAGAAAATATGCATCAGAGACCTACAAAGGACTGTGACATAAGGGGGGGTTGCCTCGACACTGACTGGTCGAGGCAACCCCTGGCAAACTGGCCTTGCAAACTTTAGGGTGATTTAAACCAGTAGATGGCATTTTCATACATTTTTCAACCCACAAACTGCAGATTTCATAAATTGTGAAGAAATAATGTCAATATTAACACCAGCATTGATGCAGGGCTCCACACTAACTTTTTGTCTTGGTTGCACTTGTGCGCCTAACTTTTTTATTTAGGTGCACCAGCACAAAATGTAGGTGCACCCAAATTTTTTCCTTGCGTCGCCATTAACGCCACAATTTCAAGGTCACCTTTTTATCACGCTCCATATACATTCATATATATCATGTAACCACCCCCCCCCCTTTGCTGTCCTCTGCCCCTCAGATGGCCAACACCTGTAATTTGGCCTTCTTCCCATTTGGCCTTGGCTAAACCAGCTTGCCACACTCCCTAGCATCAAACATATCATTCATATCATTTAGTTTACAGCTCAAAAAGTATATTTTACAGTGGAGTACTTCCTTTAAAAGTTAGCCAGGCTACTAAAACTTTTGACATGATTGAAATTTTCCCGTGTTGTGTAGAATCAGCCAAAGGATCAACTGGTGAAGACATGTCTGGAGGACCGACTGTCAGACGAGAATCCCAGTTTGTTCCAGAGACTGCCCTGACTGATGATGAGTGCAACAAAGCAATCTCACTGATGAAACATTCTGCTGATGCAGACACAATCAAGAAGAAAATGGAACTGACGTTTGTGTATCGCCGCAAAATGATCCTCGACCCCCAGCAGTCAAGCAACATACTGTCTGAGTTTCCACGTTTTAAAGACGTCAAAAGCTTGGTAATTATGTTATTTTGAAAATACTATGACAAGTGAATTGTTTTGTAAGACATTGTAGTGATACTAGCTAGCTAAACTAGCACGCAATACAATTTGATTGGCTGTCAAATAACTGAAATTGTCACCAACACCACCCCACTCCAGGTTGAACAGGATTTTGTTCTAATGTTCGGAGAGGATACCTCAAGCAAGCTTCTGGAAAGGTGGCCGGTCACGTTCAAGAAAAAGATCATCAAACAATGCAGAAAGCTTCCATCCACAAGTGAGCTTGAAGAACTCTTGCTGGCAGCTGATCCTCCTGAGGATGGCACTGAATTGGATGTTGACTTTGGTAAGATGCTTGTAAGCCTACCTTTTGTGTTGTATTGCAATATCAACATTATGTGTAAACATTTAAATATCAACATAATACTAAGAAGCTGGATCTGTGAAAGATTTACGAGTACGTTCTGTAGCAGTATATTGAACAAAACTTTTGAGATTTGACTCAGCCCTGTGGATGTTTTAGTTAGAGAACTTCTTGTGATGTAGAACTGCTGTCTGTCTGGGGGGTCTTTTGTAAAGAAAACAACGTAACTGAAGTGTGTTAACATTGAACTTGTGTTGTTACAGGTTGGGACAGTGATCTGTCATCGGTTTTACTGCTTATACACCTGATTCCACCCTCCGCTCAGGGTCGGAAGAGACCAGGAAAGGTTTCCGCATCCCAAGCAGAGAAACATCTTGTGGTATTCAAGAAGGTTTGTATTTTTTCTAATTTGTGGTATGAACACCTAATATTAGGCTACAAGTATTCATTCAATATTCATATTCAATAAGAGTAGTGTATTGGCTCTTTCTGCATATTCTACAACTACTTGGCCATTAACTACAGTTTTCCCTCATTTGTCTTCGCAGACCGGAACAAACATTCAAGAGCATCTCGATGCCATCACTACTAGCGCTCAGCCCTATCTCCTAGCTGTTGGAGTTAAGAAGAATGCAATCCACCAGTTCTTCATCATTATCGACAAGAATGCCATACCTTGCAGGTCAACCTCTTCTCTTGTTGCTTTTGACGAACTATTTAAGGCACATTTTGTGTTTGGCACATCCTACAACACCATGCTCCACAACATGTACACTTTCATCCAAACTACAGTGTACAGCATCGATGCTGGCAAGGTCAAAGAGAGCCCTCGTGTTGCTGAAATCAGGGCGAGGTTACTTCATTAGTGCTTGAAGTTTCTCCTCGAACATGAAGTGTTTTGTTTGTCAGGCTGAGTTATCGAGTTCAAATATGCTTGTTAGGCATTTACGATTAGTTCACGGTTACTTGCCTGGAAAAAATCTCCGGCTTAAATGTGCTCAGACTGGATGTGGCTGTGCGTTTGGTACGTTTTCTGGTTTTAGGAAACATTTAAACACAAAACACACTGAGTATATTGACCAACAGGTTGACCCTGATGTTTATTTAAGCAGCATTGGAGAGGCAGTGACCACTAATGTAGAGGAGACAGCTACAACGTCACGGACAGTTAATGAACACGAGGTAGCCACATCTACTCTGTTGAAAAAGTCCAACAGGAGCACTCTAGATATGTGTGCCTCTGCTGTTGCACAACTAAAAGCAGCTGGATTAAGTCAATCTACTGTAAATAGTTTTGTTTCCTCCATGGAAGAAGTGTTTTTTGAGATTCAAAGTCAAGCTACAGATGCAGCTTTGCAGTGCTTATCTCCACAGGAAACTGAAAATAAGAACAGAATAGAACAATCTTTGCAAAAGTTGGAAAACCCTTTCACACCCTTAAATTCAGAAGCTAAACGAAATAAACACTTCAAAGAGAAATGGGGAATCGTAGAACCTGTTGAAAAGGTGCTTGGCACAAGATTTGACAGCAGAAGAAACAAAACAACTGGGACATACGATCAGGTCGTTGTAACTGACAAGTTTGCATATATTCCTATTTTAGAAACACTAAAGGCCATTTTTCAAAACCCAGAACTTGCAGACATGTTCAAGCCCAGGCACATGCCCAAGGAAGGTGTGTATGCAGACTTGAGAGATGCCGCCTATTTTAAAAAAAGTCCCTTATTCTCTATAGAAAAAGATGCCATACAGATCCAGCTATTTTATGACGACTTTGAAACAGCAAACCCCTTGGGGTCTAAAAAGGGTATACACAAATTAGGTGCTATATACTTTACATTAAGGAATTTTCCCCCAATCTTTAATTCATCATTGATAAATATTCATTTGGGTGCTCTTTTCCATGCGCAGGACATCAAGCGTTATGGTTTTAATTTGATACTTGAGCCACTTGTCAGTGATCTTAAAGTACTCGAGACAGAGGGACTTAAAGTTCCCAGATTGAAAGATGTGATTCACGGTACCATAGTTCAGGTCACTGGTGATAATCTTGGGTTGCATGGTTTATTTGGCTTTGTGGAGTCATTTGGGGCAAGGTATTGTTGTCGTTTCTGTCTCCTTGAGAAAGATTGTTTTCAAACTGTGTTCTGTGAAGATGATCCAAAAGTTGTACTACGAACTATCGAGATGCACAAACTGCACTGTCAAACTTTACAAACAGATCCTACACTACCTCATATCTATGGTGTCAAACGCATTTGTCTGCTGAATTCACTACAGTATTTTAATACAGCCAACAATTTTTCTGTAGATATAATGCACGATATTTTAGAAGGAGTTGCTCAGTTTGAAGTCAAACTTGTCCTGCAGTACATTAAGGAAAACTTCCTAAATGCTGAACAACTGGCTGGTAGAATACATGCTTTTGACTATGGATACAATCAGCAGCGAAACCGTCCACCTAGAGTAAAGTTGTTTGATGGAAGTAATGATTTGGGGTTGAATGCTATACAGTCTTGGTGCTTATTACGTAATATGCCTTTGCTATTTGGTGATTTAATACAGTCAGATGACCAGCACTGGCATCTTCTACTTTTGCTTCTACACATTGTTAACATTGTATTTTCCCCAGTCCTTACAGAAGGCATGACCATTTACCTCAAACATTTAATCATTGATCATCATCAGCTCTTCAAGCAGTTGTTTCCTGCAATCAATCTCTTACCAAAGCATCACTTCATGATTCATTACCCTCGTAATATAAAAAACATCGGCCCAGTTCTGCACATGTGGTGCATGCGTTATGAAGCTAAACATAATTTTTTTAAGAAGCAATTAAAAAGCTTTAAAAATGTAACAAAAACATTAGCCAAAAAGCACCAAAGTTGTATGGCAATGTATCGAGAGTCCTTTAGCAAGGAAAGATTAACTTTAGGTTCGGGGAAGATGGTAACACTTAGTGAGCTCAAAGAAGGTCCCGAGATTGCTTTAAAATGTGGGTCTGTATTGTCTACCAGTGTGTTTTCTGCCAAGTGGATCAAACATCATGGTACAGAGTACCGCCGTGACTTCATTATCTGTACTGAGGTAGCATTTGAGATGCCTGTATTTTGTAAAATCAAAATTATTGCTGTGAAAGATGACTGTGTATTGCTCTGTGGAAAACTGATGGAAACAGTGTGTTTTGATTACCATTACTATGCCTTTAAGGTCAGGATGCATCCAGACAGGGTTCAAAAGGTGATCAACATTACTGAACTGTGTTACTTTAAACCTTTTGATGTTCAAATGAAGTATGGAACGACAGATTCCTCCTTGTATGTTGTTCCCTATTGCCATTTTATGGAAACCTAAGGTCAATGTTTTAAAAAGGGATTTGTATTCTTAATATATTTTAGCCTGACATAGTTGAGCTGTTAATAAAAATTTGAAATGCATTATTTTGTGGTAAGTTGTGATTTTTACTCACTTAATGGAGTATTTGGTGTAATTTGACACTAAAAAAGTGTAAAATGAATACTGCTGAGATTTATTTCCGTGACACTATACGGTGTTAGAATTTGACTCTATTTGAGCTTGTTTTTCACTGCAAGATAGTCAATTATCAACACAATAGTGTGTAACATCAACACTTATCAGAGTTATTTTAACCTTGAGTGTCAACTCCATGCAGTGTTAAACTGGACTGGAATCAAACTCAATCAGAGTTGATTTGTTATTTTAGAAGAGTAAATGATTAACTCTTCCAAGGGTAATATTTACACTCTCCAGTGTTATTTTACCTTTAGTGTAAAATTAAAATAACACTATTCAGTGTAAGCGAGTGTTAAATTTTTACTCTATTTAGAGTTAATTTAACTCTAAAATGTTAACACTATGAAAAGAGTCAAATTAACACTATTTCAGGGTGGGACCATATACACTCAGAAATAGTGTTAAATTTAACTCTTTAAGTGTTACTTTAACACTTCAAAATTTACTGTGTAGTACTAACCGTGCTGATGTCCAGAGGAAGAATGAAGACGATGAGGAAACACAGGTACCAGGCCAGCAAGGTGCCAAACAGCACCATCCTCTGCTGCTTACGGAAGTCTGCATAGCGATGCAGCAGGAACAGAGCCAGGAAAAACACCACCACTATCTCAATGCCCAGTGCAGCCCCACTCATCCTGCCTCTCTTACCGCTCTCTCAACGGCAAGACAGTCACTGAAAATGAGAGAACGTTTTAGAATCAATCCCTAGAATGTATATAGACTAGAGGCTGTGAAAGAGAAATGTCATATTCACTACCTAATATAATAATAATTCATTTAATTTGTAAAGTGCTTTCAGGGTTCTCTCCAGGATTTTTTAACAAGGCGGTGCTGCTGAGTACATCCGGGGGGGACTCAAGAGATTTTTTGCGTATACCTGTAACCACCATTTCCTGCAATCTAGAGCAAACAATTGCCTTATATCATAACATGTTATTTTTAGATAGTGGCGCAGCCAGTCCACAAGGTGGCGCAGCGCCTCTCTTACATTCTTTAGGGAGAACCCTGGCTTTTCTTACACCCAAGGCGCTGAAGAAATTAATAAAAAATACAATTAATAATAATAAAAACAATCCAAAACATAGAACATAGTAAGCAGACAACAATCAAAGCTATATACAGGTGTCGTCAGATCCGGTGGACAGTAGAACAGAATTAACGGAGGTCCTTGAAAGCTTTTCTGAACAGCTCAGTCGTGAGCTGTGCCTTAAAACGAGGCCAGAGACTCTGCCGCCCTGACAGTGACTAGAAGTATGTTCCACAGCTCTGTCACCCATAGTTTTTAGTCTGCTGTGGGGCTGCTGAAGGGACATGAGCCTGGAGGAGTGGAGGTGTGTGTGTGGGGCCGGAGGGTAGAATGAGGTCAGACAGATTCTTCTAGCCCATGTCAGCTAACATGTTTTAGATTGGTAAATTAGGCTAGCGGCCAGCTAATTAAACTTGTAGTAATCATGGTGGAATTACGGACCGGGGGGCCCCATTGATTTTGTTAGTCACTCTCACTCAGATATCATTTTACAAACATTTCTCTCCACCCTATGGCAAAATGTGTAGAATTGCAGGAAGTTAGCTGTAAACTGCAAATGTTCCTTTCCGCCCCATGGGAAAATGAGTAGAATTGCATGAAATTAGTTATAAAATTGCAAAATCTTCTCTCCGCCCCATGGCAAAATGTTTAGAATTGCAGAAAACTTGCTTTAAAAACGGTAACATTGTTGCCCTAGAACTACACAGCTGATTCAAATAATCAAAGCTTGATGATGAGTTGGTTATTTGAATCAGCTTTGTAGTGCTAGGGCAAAAAAAAAAACATGCACCCAGGGAGGGGCCCAGGACCGAGTTTGGGAAACCCTGCCCTAGAGAAACAAGTGAGTGCAGATCTGTTAGCATCATGGTTGCACCATTACTACAGCGAAAATTGCTTACTTCTAGTCCAACCAGATCAAAAGATCTGACCCATATTACCGGCCCAACATTTGTATCTTCCAATAGTGGATCGCCGGGACTGCATTTTACATTCATAAACCATGTCGTGGGCCGTTCTAAAACTACTCACGCGTCGACGTCGATAACCATGTTTACACTTTGTTCAGTCATGTTACCTCATAGAGCTCGCCAGCTTGTAGTCCTAAAACCCAGAAATGTGTTACCTCTTGTTCGATAAGCCATCCCTATGGGGAAAATGAATGGGGAAAGAATAGGGTTTTGGAATAAACGCTGAAAATAAGGTCTGAGGTTATCACAGGCTTAGGAGTGCTTATACATTTTGTTCAATGAGGTAATATCAGTCAGTTAACATTTACATTACATTTACATTATTTAGCAGACGCTCTTATCCAGAGCGACTTACAGGAGCAATTAGGGTTAAGTGCCTTGCTCAAGGGCACATCGACAGATTTTTCACCTAGTTGGCTCGGGGATTAGAACCAGCGACCTTTCGGTTACTGGCATAACGCTCTTAACCACTAAGCTACCTGCCGCCCAAAGTTAACATGACCTTTATGAATTATGAAGCCTTTATGTGCTTTATGTGTTTTTTGTATGACATAAATTCTTCCAGATTCACAAAAGGTGACATTAACTGATGAAGATTCTCATAGAATAAAACGTACAAGATCTCCTAAGCCTGTGTTTACCACATACCTTATTTTGGGCCTTTATCCAAAAACACCATTTATTTTCCCATAGTCTTTGTCCAACGAACCATGGCGGAGTTATTGCCTACAAAAAGACACCATTACTATTTCTCTCTATTGACTAGCTAGCTAACAACCTGGTAACTTTACCAGTGTATCCAAACATTTGGGGGCACAGAAAGAAAGGAAAAGGGATATCTTCTTCAGGAGATCAATGATCATAGCAATGAATGAATGACCGATCTCTTGCATGTCCTCATCACAAACCTGACTTTTTAAAGAGACAGTGTACAATTTTCAATGTAATGCATCTCAATTGGAAAACAGTGCTTTACACAATGTAGAAACCTGATATTCCACACAATTGACTAATTTCAATGACAGGTATTTGTGTCAACATGTTAGCTTTTATAAAAAACGAATGTATTTACAGTGTTAAATATTAGTTTCTAGGGCACATGTGCTTCAGAAATAGCTAGAATTCTTACGCTACGTTTAGACAGGCAGCCCAATACTGATATTTTTTCCACTAATTGGTCTTTTGACCAATTTTCACATTATATATTTTTAAGAGTTGATTTAATTAATTAGTCAAAAGACCTATTAGTGAAAAAATATCAGTATTGGGCTGCCTGTCTAAACACAGCAATATAGGCCCAATATAGTCTCTCAATCAATTTAAAACATCGTATTTTCTGGTGCTCCTAAATTTCATGTGGCGCTCCTAACTTTTTTAAGTTGGGAAAACCAGTGCTATCAATGAAATGTTTTCATTTAGAGCCCTGATGGAGCACATACTTAATATGAGTATGTTATAGGTTTATACTGCATGTACTCCTCGGTCATCTACCAGCCCAGTATCTCTTCTTCTAAGAGGTTTCAGACAGAGATAGTCCTTCTCACTGAGTGACACACACTCCCCTCCCCCTCACTCAATTACTTGAGATAACAATAAAATGAGCCCATTTTTCATTGGGTTCAAAAGACACGAGTCCTTGCCTACAAAATACCTGTTGGTATGTGCAAGCCAGAAAGGGTATTTTTGTTGTCCTCCTTTAGAACATGATTAAATGAGAATGGGAAAGTTCCGTTCAGATATACTCTACATGACCAAAGGTATGTGGACACCTGCTCGTCGAACATCTCATTCCAAAATCATGGGCATTAATATGGAGTTGGTCCCCCCTTTGCTGCTATAACAGCCTCCACTCTTCTGGGAAGGCATTCCACTAGAGACTCCAACTAGATGTTGGAACATTGTTGTGGTGACTTGCTTCCATTCAGCCACAAGAGCATTAGTGAGGTCGGGCACTGATGTTGGGCAATTAGGCCAGGCTCGCAGTCGGCTTTCCAATTCATCCCAAAGGTGTTCGATGGGGTTGAGCTCAGGGCTCTGTGGAGGTCAGTCAAGTTATTCCACACCAATCTCAACAAACCATTTCTGTATGGACCTCGCTTTGTGAACGGGGGCATTGTCATGCTGAAACAGGAAGGGGACCCAAACTGTTGCCACAAAGTTGGAAGCACAGAATCGTTTACAATGTCATTGTATGCTGTAGTGTTAAGATTTCCCTTCACTGGAACTAAGGGGCCTAGCCCGAACCATGAAAAACAGCCCCAGACCATTATTCCTCCTCCACCAAACTTTACAGTTGGCAATATGCATTCGGACAGGTAGCGTTGTCCTGGCATCCGTCTAACCCAGATTCGTCCGTCGGACTGCCAGATGGTGAAGCGTGATTCATCACTTCAGAGAACGTGTTTCCACTGCTCCAGAGTCCAATGGCGAGGAGCTTTACACCACTCCAGCCTTTACACCACCTTGGCATTGCGCATGGTGATCTTAGGCTTGTGTGCTGCTGCTCGGCCATGGAAACCCAGTTCATGAAGCTCCCATCGAAACAGTTATTGTGCTGACTTTGCTTCCAGAGGCAGTTCGGAACTCGGTAGTGAGTGTTGCAACAGAGGACAGATTACTGTTACGCACTTCAGCACACGGCGGTCCCATTCTGTGAGCTTGTGGGGCGTACCACTTCGCGGCTGAGCCGTTGTTGCTCCTACACGTTTCCACGTCACCGGGGCAGCTGTAGTAGGGCAGAAATTTCACGAACTGACTTTTTGGAAAGGTGGCATCCTATGACGGTGCCACGTTGAAAGTCTCTGAGCTCTTCAGTATGGGCCATTCTACTGCCAATGTTTGTCTATGGAGATTGCATGGCTGTATGCTCAATTTTGGGCTACGACGACTCAATATTAGGAAGGTGTTCCTCATGTTGGTATACTCAGTGTATAGCCTATTTTCTGTAGCCTGTTCCGTTTGAGACAGAGAGTGCTAACATGAAAAGGAGGATCGGAGGTCAACTTTTATAGCTTGCTACTACTTTAATTAAAAACAATGTTTCTTGCCCATGATGTATTTATTAGAGTTATTGACCTCACAATAAGCTAGATTCTAGTAAATTACATTGTGGTGCTGAAACTTGAAGCAGCAGCCAAGTCACAATCAAATCACTAACAGACAGCTCATGGTGCTGAGAGTCTTATTCATTTAAGCTGTATTCATTTTAATTATACTTTACTAACAACAAGAGGGTTTTGTGTTGGAGCCTATTTCTTCCTATTAAGAGGTAGGCCTACCTGTTTGACAGACGAAATTAGGCTATAGGCTGCTATATCCATAGATTTGTCGGTCAGTTCCTCCACCCACCATGCACTCTTTAAATACCTTACCTCCATCAGGGCTGTTAAGTTAAAACCAAGAATCGAATTGAGGGAGTATAGGCCTACCTTTTATTAAAGAAAATTGCAAAAAGCACAGGCCTACCCCTTGTTAGCTTAAGATTTTGAAGAAAATAAATCGGATCCGATTTAATAAAGTGATCTATAACAGCGCTTTGGTCCACGATGCTTTATGCTAGAAACAAACTGGAAAATACCCGGGAAAGACGTTACTCCAATGAATATGGGGATATCATTGTTTCGTTTCTTTGACATTCAGAGGCTGAACTACAACCTTTTATAGCAGAGAAGACAAAACATATAATTTGCTTGGGAAGTAATCTAATTATGTCTAGCAATTGATTAAGCTATTCACTTTCTGTACATTAGAAGATGTTTAAACCCAGACAGCTTTTAGGGAAACATTTGTGACCTCGTTAAGCAACCGAAGAAGAGTAGCCTGCAGTTAAAGCTTACATTTTTCTGCGTTGGTAGGCCTAACTTTTGAAAGTACCACTTTTGAAAGCTCATTTGTAATTATTTGCAAACAGGCACCGTTTCGTTGCAAACAAGACACTGATTTGGCATTGGAGAAATATGATAAGATGAACACAGGCCTATATAGCTATCTCTCTGTCCATTCTTTGTGTGGTATTAAAAAGATTCTGCTAATATGTAAAATGACATAGAATTGCAAGACATTTTATAAAAGGACATTTTTTCTCAGACCTGCAAATACGATGATAGATTCATGCAATGCTATTACTATAATGGAGATGTTTCCACCCCTACTCTTGTCCACGGTGGTCTGCGAACCCACAACCTTATGTACCATCAACATTTCTGCGTTGCCATGTAATGCTTACAGCAACAGTCTTCTAAAACTGCATATCTAAGGCTCTGGTCTGTCCAATAAGTGAGGGTAAACAGTAGACATGTTTTCTGCTATCCACTTTGTTTTAATTATTATTTTGGGTATATTGGGGAGGGTAACTTTTTTTATTTTTCAAGCGTTCAAGGAGGGTTTAGGTAAAATATATTTTGCTGAATGGAGGGCCATCCATTTTAATTTCAGAGAGGTCCAATTTTCTCCTTATAACCCTTATTATAAATAACGTTCACTCCCTAATCGCTAGAAAAATGTATGCCCGTGTATTGAAACATAAAAATCACTGAAATGAGCAGACAGCGCCGCCTTGCTTGCTAACTAGCTAATTCCACACATTGGCCGTGTTCGAGAGCATCAAAACCGTGATGTTTCATGGGTAAATTGTGACTGATCTACAAATAATATTGAGTAGTTATTTAGGATGCAAGGTGATATGTAGATCATTCAGTTTCGAATTGCCTTTAAAGTCTGCTGCAATGTAGAACGTGCCCAACGTCTTAGCTGCTATGTCAGCTCACATTACAATTCAATAACAAATAAACAAAGACGCTTTCACACTTGTTAAACAACATAACATACAATCTAATTTGTCAGACCAAATTAACATCAACGCTTCAATTGCCTTATAGATGTTATTATCGCATTTTGGGCCGCGACGAAATATTAATAGCAAACGACCTGTCAAAAATGCTAAATGATAGCTCGCGAACAAGCTGTGTTTGTAGCTAACTACATACGCTAAAATTGTCTCTTACCTTCGTTTTGTTTCGAATATACCGTTAGGATTACAGCCAAAATCCCATCTATGATATTGTAAAATTCAACTACAGTGTACCATGTAAGAATTAGCTTCACATCCTTGGTTCTTCCTGGTCTGGGTTATGGCAGCTGGGGATGATGGGAAGTGTATGCGTTTGTAACATGTTTTGTCGCAAAGTCAGAGAGAGCCACGTCTTTCAAAATGACAACGCAGACAGACAAAAATAAAGAAAAATGAAAATCACACAAAATATGTGAAACCAGACACTCAAAATCAGTATGACTATGTTCTTATTCCAGATCTGAATCACCTTTATTCGGTTAGTACATCTACATATGGTGCTGTTAGCAGTATATATATATTTTTTTATTATACATTTAGCAGACGCTCTTATCCAGAGCGACTTACAGGAGCAATTAGGGTTATGTGCCTTGCTTAAGGGCACATCGACAGATTTTTCACCTAGTCGGCTCGGGGATTAGAACCAGCGACCTTTCGGTTACTGGCACAACGCTCTTACCCACTAAGCTACCTGCCGCCCTACATTTAATAAAATGTTTAAACACAAAATTCACCAACAGTCATTTCTATACAGAAAATGCTGTCACATTTGTCAGATTAAAATATACAAACACCAGATGGCTACAGAAAAAAAGCAGTAATATAACGAAGCTGATGATGACTATGTCTAATGCTATGTCTCACCTAAAATGTTCAACAAATTGATCAAGCGTTCTGCATTGAAAATTAATGTATGATAGTACATAGTATAGTAATAGTATAATATAGTGAGGGAAAAAAGTATTTGATCCCCTGCTGATTTTGTACGTTTGCCCACTGACAAAGACATGATCAGTCTATAATTTTAATGGTAGGTTTATTTGAACAGTGAGAGACAAAATAACAACAAAAAAATCCAAAAAAACGCTTGTCAAAAATGTTATAAATTGATAAGCATTTTAATGAGGGAAATAAGTATTTGACCCCTCTGCAAAACATGACTCAGTACTTGGTGGCAAAACCCTTGTTGGCAATCACAGAGGTCAGACATTTCTTGTAGTTGGCCACCAGGTTTGCACACATCTCAGGAGGGATTTGGTTCCACTCCTCTTTGCAGATCTTCTCCAAGTCATTAAGGTTTCGAGGCTGACGTTTGGCAACTCGAACCTTCAGCTCCCTCCACAGATTTTCTATGGGATTAAGGTCTGGAGACTGGCTAGGCCACTCCAGGACCTTAATGTGCTTCTTCTTGAGCCACTCCTTTGTTGCCTTAGCCATGTGTTTTGGGCCATTGTCATGCTGGAATACCCATCCACGACCCATTTTCAATGCTCTGGCAGAGGGAAGGAGGTTCTCACCAAAGATTTGACGGTACATTGCCCCGTCCATCGTCCCTTTGATGCGGAGAAGTTGTCCTGTCCCCTTAGCAGTAAAACACCCCCAAAGCATAATGTTTCCACCTCCATGTTTGACGGTGGGGATGGTGTTCTTAGGGTCATAGGCAGCATTCCTCCTCCTCAAAACACGTTGAGTTGATGCCAACGAGCTCGATTTTGGTCTCATCTGACCACAACACTTTCACCCAGTTCTCCTCTGAATCATTCAGATGTTCATTGGCAAACTTCAGACGGCCCTGTATATGTGCTTTCTTGAGCAGGGAGACCTTGCGGGAGCTGCAGGATTTCAGTCCTTCACGGCGTAGTGTGTTACCAATTGTTTTCTTGGTGACTATGGTCCCAGCTGCCTTGAGATCATTGACAACATCCTCCCGTGTAGTTCTGGGCTGATTCCTCACCGTTCTCATGATCATTGCAACTCCACGAGGTGAGATCTTGCATGGAGCCCCAGGCCGAGGGAGATTGACAGTTATTTTGTGTTTCTTCCATTTGTGAATAATCACACCAACTGTTGTCACCTTCTCACCAAGCTGCTTGGCGATGGTCTTGTAGCCCATTCCAGCCTTGTGTAGGTCTACAATCTTGTCCCTGACATCCTTGGAGAGCTCTTTGGTCTTGGCCATGGTGGAGAGTTTGGAATCTGATTGATTGATTGCTTCTGTGGACAGGTGTATTTTATACAGGTAACAAACTGAGATTAGGAGCACTCCCTTTAAGAGTGTGCTTCTAATCTCAGCTCGTTACCTGGGAGCCAGATATCTTTCTGATCGAGAGGGAGCGCAGTGGCCGAGTGGCGCAGTGGTCTAAGGCACTGCATCGCAGCGCTAGCTGTGCCACTAGAGATCCTGGTTCGAATCCAGGCTCTGTCGTAGCCGGCTGCGACCGGGAGACCCATGGGGCGGCGTACAATTGGCCCAGGGTAGGGGAGGGAATGGCTGGCAGGGATGTAGCTCAGTTGGTAGAGCATGGTGTTTGCAACGCCAGGGTTGTGGGTTCGATTCCCACGGGGGGGCCAGTATGAAAAAAAATATAATAATGTATGCACTCACTAACTGTAAGTCGCTCTGGATAAGAGCGTCTGCTAAATGACTAAAATGTAAAAAATGGGTCAAATCCTTTTTTCCCTCATTAAAATGCAAACCAATTTATAACATTTTTGACATCTGTTTTTCTGGATTTTTTTGTTGTTATTCTGTCTCTCACTGTTCAAATAAACCTACCATTAAAATTATAGACTGATCATTTCTTTGTCAGTGGGCAAATGTACAAAATCAGCAGGGGATCAAATACTTGTTTCCCTCACTGTACATTCAAAGTAAAAAACAACATACTGGTAACTGCAGGAAATACAATCATTTATGTGCAAAAAAGACACAAAAAAACGTAATGACACATTTGTCAGATAAACATGGAAATAAGGTTTGATTAATTTATGTATATAAATGTGTAGAAGGGTTTAAACCCTGAGGAATTGAATGATACATTCTAGGTTTACTTTGCAGCTGTTGTCATGGTAAAGTAAAGAGTATCTTTGTGAAGGCCATAAGAAGCAGCAGCGTGTATTGTAAATAATTATAATAATATTAGGCCAGGGTGTCACGGTGGCTCAGTATATTATCCTCAGTATAATATACAGAATGGGAAGAAGTGCAAATGCAAAAATAATATATAAAGGAGGGACAGCTTTGTATTTCAAGTTAGTCAAGTCAAGTTCTCCCTTGTCTTGTGCAGCTACCAACAGATTAATAACACAAGACCAAAGAAACACAATGAGGATTATTCCTGTTCTGTCTCCTGTCATTTGTAAATAACATGTGCATTGAGTTCTGCTAGTCTCTTGTGATACTGGGAGTCAGTGGATAATCATTTTGAGTCATAGTGGATCAAATAGACTTAAAATAAAAGCAGCCGTTAACAAAGTCACTCAGAGCTCAGAGTAAGAATGTAATAAGCAGCCATAACCTTGAATATATACAGTGGGGGAAAAAAGTATTTAGTCAGCCACCAATTGTGCAAGTTCTCCCACTTAAAAAGATGAGAGAGGCCTGTAATTTTCATCATAGGTACACGTCAACTATGACAGACAAATTGACATTTTTTTTCCAGAAAATCACATTGTAGGATTTTTTATGAATTTATTTGCAAATTTTGGTGGAAAATAAGTATTTGGTCACCTACAAACAAGCAAGATTTCTGGCTCTCACAGATCTGTAACTTCTTCTTTAAGAGGCTCCTCTGTCCTCCACTCGTTACCTGTATTAATGGCACCTGTTTGAACTTGTTATCAGTATAAAAGACACCTGTCCACAACCTCAAACAGTCACACTCCAAACTCCACTATGGCCAAGACCAAAGAGCTGTCAAAGGACACCAGAAACAAAATTGTAGACCTGCACCAGGCTGGGAAGACTGAATCTGCAATAGGTAAGCAGCTTGGTTTGAAGAAATCAACTGTGGGAGCAATTATTAGGAAATGGAAGACATACAAGACCACTGATAATCTCCCTCGATCTGGGGCTCCACGCAAGATCTCACCCCTGCATAAGCCAGTACATGTCCAGGCCCGTCTGAAGTTTGCTAGAGTGCATTTGGATGATCCAGAAGAGGATTGGGAGAATATCATATGGTCAGATGAAACCAAAATATAACTTTTTGGTAAAAACTCAACTCGTCGTGTTTGGAGGACAAAGAATGCTGAGTTGCATCCAAAGAACACCATACCTACTGTGAAGCATGGGGGTGGAAACATCATGCTTTGGGGCTGTTTTTCTGCAAAGGGACCAGGACGACTGATCCGTGTAAAGGAAATAATGAATGGGGCCATGTATCGTGAGATTTTGAGTGAAAACCTCCTTCCATCAGCAAGGGCATTGAAGATGAAACGTGGCTGGGTCTTTCAGCATGACAATGATCCCAAACACACTGCCCGGGCAACGAAGGAGTGGCTTCGTAAGAAGCATTTCAATGTCCTGGAGTGGCCTAGCCAGTCTCCAGATCTCAACCCCATAGAAAATCTTTGGAGGGAGTTGAAAGTCCGTGTTGCCCAGTGACAGCCCCAAAACATCACTGCTCTAGAGGAGATCTGCATGGAGGAATGGGCCAAAATACCAGCAACAGTGTGTGAAAACCTTGTGAAGACTTACAGAAAACTTTTGACCTGTGTCATTGCCAACAAAGGGTATATAACAAAGTATTGAGAAACTTTTGTTATTGACCAAATACTTATTTTCCACCATAATTTGCAAATAAATTCATTAAAAATCCTACAATGTGATTTTCTGGATTTTTTTTTCTCATTTTGTCTGTCATAGTTGACGTGTACCTATGATGAAAATTACAGGCCTCTCTCATCTTTTTAAGTGGGTGAACTTGCACAATTGGTGGCTGACTAAATATTTTTTTCCCCCACTGTATATATATCTCTATACATATAATCTATCTCTCTCTCTCTACATCTCTCACTGGATCTGATAGAAACTAGACATGGTGACATACACCTCATCTTTGCCTCCTTGCTGGGTAGCACCTAGCCCCTCAGAACCAACGTTACCATCACTGTCGTCTGTCTCCACGCTCTCCGTGTCACTCTTCAGATCCAGGATGCACATGTTGGAGTCAGTGCTCCCAGCCCCAAAGTTGAGGTGCTCTCCTGGGGACTCACACCTCAACAGTATGGCCTCCGACCCTCCAGTACTGGTGCTATGGCAGGACTTCGTATCCCCATCACACTCTTGAATGAGGCATTGATCTTTGACCTCAGTGAGGTATTGGGCGTCAGAGTCAGTGGGTTGGGCAGTAACGTGCTGCTCCCCGGCCAGCTCCACCGGCTGGATGTTGAGATCACTGAACACCTCAGGGTTGAAGCTCAGAGGTTGGCCCTGCTGGGTCACAGGAAAGAGACAAGATAAACCAATATCCTCCTAACTCATTATGGACATTATTGTTCCCAGTCTAGTGCATATCAGAGGATTTACACTACATGACCAAAATGCTCGTCGAACATCTCATTCCAAAATCATGTGCATTAATATGGAGTTGGTCCCCCTTTGCTGCTATAACCGCCTCCACTCTTCTGGGAAGGCTTTCCACTAGAGGTTGGAACATTGCTGCGGGGACTTGATTCCATTCAGCCACAAGAGCATTCGTGAGGTCGGGCACTGATGTTGGGCGATTAGGCCTGGCTCGCAGTCAGCGTTCCAATTCATCCCAAAGGTGTTCGATGGGGTTGAGGACAGGACTCTGTGCAGGCCAGTCAAGTTCTTCCACACTGATCACGACAAACCATTTCTGTATGGACCTCGCTTTGTGCACAGGGGCATTGTCATGCTGAAACAGGAAGCATTAAGATTTCCCTTCACTGGAACTAAGGGGCCTAGCCCAAACCTTGAAAAACAACCCCAGACCATTATTCCTCCTCCACCAAACTTTACAGTTGGTACTATGCATTCGAGCACGTAGCGTTCTCCTGGCATCTGCCAAACCCAGATTCGTCTGTCGGACTGCCCGATGGTGAAGCGTGATTAATCACTCCAGAGAACGCGTCTCCATTGCTCCAGATTCCAATGACGGCGAACTTTACACCACTCCAGCCGACGCTTAGCTTTGCGCATAGTGATCTTAGGCTTGTGAGCGGCTGCTCGGCAATGGAAACCCATTTCATGAAACTCCTGACGAACAGTTCTTGTGCTGACGTTGCTTCCAGAGGCAGTTTGTTGCAACCGAGGACAGACGATTTTTACGTGCTACGCGCTTCAGCACTCGCCAGTCCCGTTCTGTGAGCTTGTGTGGCCTACCACTTCCCGGCTGAGCCGTTGTTGCTCCTAGATGTTTCCACTTCACAATAATAGCACTTACAGTTGACCGGGGCAGCTCTAGCTGGGCAGAAATGTGACGAACAGACTTGTTGGAAAGGTGGCATCCTATGACGGTGCCACGTTGAAAGTCACTGAGCTCTTCAGTACGGGCCATTCTACTGCCAATGTTTGTCTATGGAGATCGCATGGCGGTGTGCTCAATTTTTTACACCTGTCAGAAACGGGTGTGGCTGAAATAGCTGAATCCACTAATTTGAAGGGGTGTCCACATACTTTTGTGTATATACCCATTGATTCTTGAAGAACATAACTGAGCTTAGTTCAACTTCGTAACCCAAAATATACACTTGTTTTACTCCAATGTTTGTAAACACCTCTAAACTAGATGTCTGCACCTGTTGTATTCGGCGCATGTGACCAATAAAATTTGATTTGATTTGATTTGATTTGAAGCGCGTAGCACGTACAAATAGTCTGTCCTCGGTTGCAACAAACTGCCTCTGGAAGCAACGTCAGCACAAGAACTGTTCGTCAGGAGTTTCATGAAATGGGTTTCCATTGCCGAGCAGCCGCTCACAAGCCTAAGATCACTATGCGCAATGCTAAGCGTCGGCTGGAGTGGTGTAAAGATCGCCACCATTGGACTCTGGAGCAATGGAAACGCGTTCTCTGGAGTGATTAATCACGCTTCACCATCGGGCAGTCCGACAGACGAATCTGGGTTTGGCAGATGCCAGGAGAACGCTACGTGCTCGAATGCATAGTACCAACTGTAAAGTTTGGTGGAGGAGGAATAATGGTCTGGGGCTGTTTTTCAAGGTTTGGGCTAGGCCCCTTAGTTCCAGTGAAGGGAAATCTTAATGCTTCCTGTTTCAGCATGACAATGCCCCTGTGCACAAAGCGAGGTCCATACAGAAATGGTTTGTCGTGATCAGTGTGGAAGAACTTGACTGGCCTGCACAGAGTCCTGTCCTCAACCCCGTCAAACACCTTTGGGATGAATTGGAAGGCCGACTACGAGTCAGGCGTAATGCCCAACATCAGTGCCTGAACTCACTAATGCTCTTGTGGCTGAATGGAAGCAAGTCCCAGCAGCAATGTTCCAACATCTAGTGGAAAGCCTTCCCAGAAGAGTGGAGGCTGTTATAGCAGCAAAGGGGGGACCAACTCCATATTAATGTTCAACGAGCAGGTGTCCACATATTTCTGACCATGTAGTATATATATATACAGTCGTGGTCAAAGGTTTTGAGAATGACACAAATACTAATTTTCACAAAGTCTGCTACCTCAGTTTTGATGATGGCAATTTGCATATACTCCAGAATGTCATAAAGAGTGATCAGGTGAATTGCAATTGAAAATGAACTTAATCCCCCAAAAACATTTCCACTGCATTTCAGCCCTGCCACAAAAGGACCAGCTGCCATCATGTCAGTGATTCTCTCGTTAACACAGGTGAGAGTGTTGACGAGGACAAGGCTGGAGATCACTCTGTCATGCTGATTGAGTTAGAATAACAGACTGGAAGCTTTAAAAGGAGGGTGGTGCTTGAAATCATTGTGATTCCTCTGTTAACCATGGTTACCTGCAAGGAAACATGTGCCTTCATCATTGCTTTGCACAAAAAGGTCTTCACAGGCAAGGATATTGCTGCTAGTAAGATTGCACCTAAATCAACCATTTATCGGATCATCAAGAACTTCAAGGAGAGAGGTTCAATTGTTGTGAAGAAGGCGTCAGGACGCCCAAGAAAGTCCAGCAAGCGCCAGGACCGTCTCCTAAAGTTGATTCAGCTGCGGGATCGGGGCACCACAAGTGCAGAGCTTGCTCAGGAATGGCAGCAGGCAGGTGTGAGTGCATCTGCACGCACAGTGAGGCGAAGACCTTTGGAGGATGGCCTGGTGTCAAGAAGGGCAGCAAAGAAGCCACTTCTCTCCAATAAAAACATCAGGGACAGACTGATATTCTGCAAAAGGTACAGGGATTGGACTGCTGAGGACTGGGGTAAAGTCATTTTCTCTGATGAATCCCCTTTCCGATTGTTTGGGGCATCCGGAAAACACCTTGTCCGGAGAAGACAAGGTGAGCGCTACCATCAGTCCTGTGTCATGCCAACAGTAAAGCATCCTGAGACCATTCATGTGTGGGGTTGCTTCTCAGCCAAGGGAGTGGGCTCACTCACTATTTTGCCTAAGAACACAGCCATGAATAAAGAATGGTATCAACACATCCTCTGAGAGCAACTTCTCCCAACCATCTAAGAACAGTTTGGTGATGACCAATGCCTTTTCCAGCAAGATGGAGCACCTTGCCATAAGGCAAAAGTGATAACTAAGTGGCTCGGGGAAGAAAACATCGACATTTTGGGTCCATGGCCAGGAAACTCCCCAGACCTTAATCCCATTGAGAACTTGTGGTCGATCCTCAAGAGGCGGGTGGACAAACAAAAACCCACAACTTCTGACAAACTCCAAGCATTGATTATAGATGGGCTGACATCAGTCAGGATGTGGCCCAGAAGTTAATTGGCAGCATGCCAGGGCGGATTGCAGAGGTCTTGAAAAAGAAGGGTCAACACTGCAAATATTGACTCTTTGCATAAACTTAATGTAATTGTCAGTAAAAGCCTTTGACACTTATGGAATGCTTGTAATTATACTTCAGTATACCATAGTAACATCTGACAAAAATATCTCATAACACTGAAGCAGCGACCTTTGTGAAGACCAATACTTGGGTCATTCTCAAAACTTTTGACCACAACTGTACAGTGCCTTCGGAAAGTATTCAGACCTCTTGACTTTTTCCACATTTTGTTACGTTACAGCCTTATGCTAAAATTGATTAAATAAATAACAATTCTCAGTAATCTACACAAAATATCCCATAATGACAAAGCGAAAACAGGTTTTTAGAATTTTTTGCAAATGTATTTAAACAACCTTATTTACATAGGTATTCAGACCCTTTGCTACAAGACTCAAAATTGAGCACTGGTGCATCCTGTTTCCATTGATCATCCTTGAGATGTTTCTACAACTTGATTGGAGTCCACCTGTGGTAAATTCAATTGATTGGATATGATTTGGAAAGGCACACACCTGTCTATATAAGGTTCCACAGTTGACAGTGCATGTCAGAGCAAAAACCAAGCCATGAGGTCGAAGGAATTGTCCGTAGAGCTCCGAGACAGAATTATGTCGAGGCACAGATCTTGGGAAGGGTACCAAAAAAATTCTGCAGTATTGACGATCCCCAAGAACACAGTGGCCTCCATCATTCTTAAATGGAAGAAATGTGGAACCACCAAGACTCTTCCTAGAGCTGACCAAGGGAGGTGACCAAGAACCCAATGGTCACTCTGACAGAGCTCTAGAGTTCCTCTGTGGATATGGGAGAACCTTCCAGAAGGACAACCATCTCTGCAGCACTCCACCAATCAGGCCTTTATGGTAGAGTGGCCAGACGGAAGCCACTCCTCAATAAAAGGCACATAACAGCCCGCTTGGAGTTTGCCAAAAGGCACCTAAAGACTCTCAGACCATGAGAAACAAGATTCTCTGGTCTGATGAAACCAAGATTGAACTCTTTGGCCTGAATGCCAAGCGTCACATCTGGAGGAAACCTGGCACCATCCCTATGGTGAAGCATGGTGGTGGCAGCATCATGCGGTGGGGATGTTTTTCAGTGGTAGGGACTGGGAGACTAGTCAGGATCGAGGCAAAGATGAACGGAGCAAAGTACAGAGAGATCCTTGATGAAAACCTGCTCCAGAGCACTCAAGACCTCAGACTGGGGCGAAGGTTCACCTTCCAACAGGACAACGACCCTAAGCACACAGCCAAGACAACGCAGGAGTGGCTTCGGGACAAGTCTCTGAATGTCCTTGAGTGGCCCAGCCAGAGCCCGGACTTGAACCCGATCGAACATCTCTGGAGAGACCTGAAAATAGCTGTGCAGCAACGCTCCCCATCCAACCTGAGAGAGCTTGAGAGGATCTGCAGAGAAGAATGGGAGAAACTCCCCAAATACCGGTGTGCCAAGCTTGTAGCGTCATACTCAAT